GTGAAGACAAGTTTATCTACAGAAATGAAGATGGTGCACTGTTGGAATATGACTGCCTTACAAAGAATTCAACTCTCATCATGGACAACACTACATTTGTGAGTTGAGAGAATACTGTATTTTAAATTAAAAGTACTTAGTACACAAACTTAAAATCCTGAAGACAAAGATATATATATATATATATATATATATATATATATATATATAATGTATATGGTGTGATTGGTAAATTGTTTCCATTTTATATTTTTAATTTTGTGCATGCATGTCGTGTGTTTATTTTGTCAATTCCACAATATAGTAGGGTCAGTTGGGCACTGTCTGTGATACAATTCACTCTGCTAGAAATTTGGAAACACCATGCTGTACTGCTTGGCATTCATGCCAGAAGCTCCAATATAAACATTTCAGAGTGTTTGGGTGTCAATTTGAGGACAGTGCAGAGGATGCGAAAAGAGTTGAATGAGTCTAATGGTGATTACAAAGGTTTTTGAAGTGATCACTAGTGATAGCAATGTTATGCCTCCATTCATCTTCCCACAGGGCCTCAGACTCAACACCTATAGACTCAGGCCTATATCAAATACCTTGAGGAGGTAGTGCTGCTTTGGGTCAAGAGGGTGGATGCTGGAAGACCCTACGTCTGGCGACAGGATTCTGCACCATGCTGCACAAGCAGGAGAACCCAGTCATGGCTATCAGACAATTTCTGCGACCACATCACCCCTTACATCTGGCCACCTAACTCCCCAAATTGCAACCCCCTTGATTATTATGTGTTGGGTGCACTTGAGCAAGAGACTAACAAAGCTCCTTGTGACACCAAAGATGAACTGAAGGCAAAGATTACGGCAGCATTCACCAAATTAAACAAGTCATCTGGAGGCCATAGTTGAAGCCAATAGCAATTATATTGAATAAATGTACTCTTTAGTATTTCAAGATATCTTTGTGTAAATTTGGTAAATATATCTATTAAAATGAGATGTCTGTTATTTTCATTTTTGGCATAATTTAGATGACAATTTATTCATCATACCCTCTGTGTGTGGGTGTGGGTGTGTGTGTGTGTGTCTATCATATTAAAACCCTAATTGTGTATGTATGTGTATTCACAAGATACAACTCAAACAATACATAATAACCCAAACTTTATCAGCATATTGAATCTTGAATACCTGCCAAGTGCAGTGCCAAGTTTTATTAAAATTAGAGAAGCACTCCTTGAATTAGAACCGTTTTTCTGTTTTTACAGCATTTTAATAGGAAATTCAGTATTTGTTTTCAATATACAGTCTTATATCAACCTGCATATATAAACAAACACTTGCATATTATATTCCAAATATTATGTATATGAAAAATAATAAATATTCATAATACATTATAGCAACATTATTAAATAAATTTAAATCTACATAACACAATATATATTTATACAATTCACTACATTACATTAGAATTTTTTTTTATAAACAACTACTTGAAAGGTGAAGAGGCTATATATGTCACATGACTTGATGGTAAATAAATAATTAGATACACATTGGTTTGATGCCATTAGATATTGTGAAATAAATGGGAGGAAAAAACAAGTATGTATAATGAAAAATATACTATTTTGAAAAATACTACACCTGTTTTAAGCTATTCACACACTGTGAAGCCCAGTAGGACAATAAATCATCATTTACCATTTTTATTAATTATTAATTTTGTATCCAAAGTACATTTTATGAAAGAAATTTATCTTTTAATGTAAAGAAGTAAGACATTGATATTGTAAAATAATTTATCTTCATACTTTAAATTGGGATATATTTATATAAAGGCATTTTTGGTGGTTTTCTTTCATTTTCAGGCCAGAAAAATTTTACTTATTATTAACTAATAACTAATAAAAAAAATATACTTATTTTTAAAAAAAAAACCTGTTTTAATCTATTACTCCAAATTTTCACATAATGTTAACTATAAAGCCCAGTTGAACAATAAACCTTCTTTTACCATCTTTAAAAACAAATTAAAATGTATAATTAATAATAAAATAATATTGTTACCTCATCATTTTGCATTATGAACTCTTTATAAAAGAAACGCGATGGGTTTATAGGCAGTTTGGTATATATAAATAAATCTTGACACCAGGAAAATTCTGTTTCTCAATATATAAGAAATCTGTTTACATTACTATTTATGATAAATGATTGATATGTAATATCTGAACCAAAATATTAAAATGGGATATGTGAAAACTAGTTAGATGTTTAATTTTTTTTATTCTGTTAATGTTTCATTCTATAATAACATCATTAGAACAACTGAAAAATTAAGGTAAAATTTTTACCATAGCAACTTAAAAATGTTGTGGTTAATTTAAAAAAATTTTGGAAAATTTAACATTTTAATAAAATTAAAAATAAATATTTGTGAATAAAATAAATATCTGAACAAATTAATGAGATTTGTATATAGAAAAATGTTAAAATAAATATAAAATGTAGTCATTTGCTATAAGTAAATGAGAATTATAGTAAGAAAAACAAATTGAATATCTAAAGAAAATAATGAATACATATTCAAATTATAATTTATGTAATATTATTTACCTGTTAATAAAAATATAGAATTAAACGAAAATAAAAAAATATAATAAAATTTTATTAGGGTGTTTAACTGGTTATCTATTTAAATATTATTTTTATTAAGCATTAGCTTAGCCAGAAAATGTAATATGATATAAAAATCTACTTTTTAATTAATTGGACTGAATTGTGATAACTGATTAAATAATTCTTTTATCTGATTTATGTTGAATAAAGTTAACTACTTTGGTGCCTTTAAAATTGAAAGGATGGTTTTTATATTGTACATGGGAGAATAAATAATTTAATGTATCACTGATTTTTATAGCACTTTTGTGTTCATAGATATATTTTCTAACTTTCTTCACCAGTATAAATTACTACAAGGGGATTAGATAGATAGATAGATAGATAGATAGATAGATAGATAGATGTATGTGTGTGTAATAAGTATTTAAATCATTTATTATTCTTATTTTTTTTACTTTTTAATTATGTCTTTTATTGGTAGATGTGGTTTTAATTCCAAGGTCTTTGAGTTTATTTTTTGCATTAGTATGAAATAAATAGGGTATTATAGTGATTTGAATGTCTTTTCAGTTTAAGTTCTTCATCTAGATAGTGGGGGCTACATACTCTAAATGTTCTGAGATTAAGACCTATTATTATTATTATTATAATGGTTTTAGTTTTATTCTAATGATGTGAGAAAAAAATGTATGTAGACATTACTATTTGTTGACTTATTTATATAGTTGTTTATAAATTTTCCTTAGTCATTCACTGTACACAGTTATGATAATATTGGATAGTATTATAATTGGCTTTATCTCTCACTCACTCTCTACACAGTGGATTGAATGTAATGCATCTCATTTTAAATAGATATAATACCGACTGGCTACTCATTTCCAAGCACACCCATTTGCCAGGGGAGCTGGCCAATCCCTGTTGCAGACACCTGCTGAGACAAATTTGTGTTTCTTCAACCGCAACAGAGCCAACTTTGGTTTATAGCACTATACTGAACAGACCTTAGTTACAGTTTCTGGGAGAGAGCACATAATCTGACATGATCAACAGTTTGAACAAGGCCAGTAAACTCAAACTCTCGGTCATGATGAATTTTGATTTCTTGCTAGTGCAATGATCAGCAGCTTCCTGCTAATTCTATTTATCCAATTTCATTCACAAGGCCTAGGTCAACCCATGGTATAGTTTTCAGGCCCTTTCTAAATGTAACACATGCTGAGATTGCCTCTCTAGGCTGATATCATAGAGAAGTCACCTTCCTGACAAATCAAACCCTAGTGAGATTTAAACTTGGTTCTCTTAGTCAGAAAGCTCAGGACCTTTCTAAATGTAACACATGCTGAGATTGCCTCCCTAGGCTGATATAAAGAAGTCACCTTCTTGACGAATCAAATCCTGGTGAAATTTAAACTTGGGTCTCATGGATAGAAAGCTCAGCTACACACGCATAAATATAGATACATAAACACATATCTTCACTGGGATGTGTTTTTTAAACATTTTCTTTTTTTTTAATGCCATATCTCTATAAATGACCATGACACTCTACAGATTCCTTTTTCTTTATCTATGAATTGCAATTATATCTTGGGAAACATAGTGAATTTATTTTGAATGACTGCATGTTTTAGAATTCAGAATTGACTTCTCCTAGACTGACCCAAGGCTAAAGAGCTAAGTCTACCCTGCTGCTTAACCTATATCTGGAGGGAGAAGTGATAGGAGTTATGCCTTTCCCAAGGACATTTGTGTAAAAATTAATGCAGCAGAAGACAAGGCTGGAACATCAAGCCTACTCATCAGTTCCACTTTCTATGCCAATAACCATTGTGCCACCTGCACATTCTTTTTGTAACATTATTGTTTAAAGAATTATAGGAAATTTACTAATTGTTGTACTTTAAGGATTTTTTTTCATTCATCCTAATTGAAAAATTTGCTTTAGTTATTTATTTATTTATTTTTATTTAAAATGACTAATAACCCATTTTTGCACTCAAGTTCATCATCATTGATTTTACCATTAACACTACTAAAGTGTTATTTCATCTTTAAAGATTATATAACTAGGAATTATTTCCTGGGTCTTTTCTTCTCATAGTCATTAGTAGAATAATGATGTCTGTTAAAAGCAATGGTTATAAAATAAAAACCTAGTGCAGTGCTTGACAGCTTATGAGAGTGGATCAATAAATCTGTAGCCTGACACGTAGTCATTAGCTGAAATTCGATCTGAAAGAATTAATAATCACCACTGAATTAAGTTCATTGACAAGGAAGGATATTATAATGAAAAATAAATGTTTTGTAAATTAAATGCTTTTTCATCATTAGACTGCAGACTTATTGATATACCTATATATTCCTGCTTTAAATTGATACATGAGGTGGGCTGCTGAAAAATTCTTAGCCAAACACTTCCCAAAATCTGACAAAACCTCAAAGTTTGGAGAGCGATTCCCTTTCTGGGCAGGGTAAGAACTTTTCAGCAGCTCCTTCATATATGTTGATTCTCAGTCTTCAATTATATTTGCTTTAATTTCTTTACTTTTAATTATAAACAAATGATATGCGAGGTAAGAAATGACTGGGAATGTAGATTACCTAATTGTGACTGAAGATTACATCATTAGGCTATCATAAGGTTTCATTTGGGGAAATACGGTGAAGATAGACTTAGTGTAACAAAAAATTTGACTGAAAATTTCTTGGTTCGACCCGCTTCTCCCAAATTGACCAAATGAACAAGCCTCAGAACCTTTTTTTGCTTAATCCCTTTTTGCTCAGTCTGATAACACTTCAGCATTCTCTCATAAGACTATCCACATTGAATAAAATATTAACAGCAGGAATAAAGTATTCCTGTAAACACAAAAGATATTACTAAGTTATATTCATTGTTTATCAATGAAACAATTCAACCCTTGTTTATCAATGAAACAATTTGACCCTTTTAAAAATTGGACCAATTTTAAACTTAATTAACATTTAAAATTGGTCCAAGTTATTGGAACAATCTTTAATATGATAGATGATTCTGATAAAATTACAATGCCTCTTATTTTGCAATGCATTGGTTTTATTACTATAAACATTATTTTTAATGGATACCCATATTTAAGTAGATTCTCTGTTTATTTATTAAACAGTATATTTATTTTTATCTACTGGCTTGAATATTCAAGAAATATTATTAAGGAAAAAGATACATCTTCTGACAGGATTTGAACCTGTGATCCCCCTGTGCAGGAGGAACCGTCATTAGATCCAATGTGCTTTAGACATGTTTTCTGAAGTCACCTGGCAAGGAGAACATAGGTTGGAATCCTGCTGAAGGACACATCTTTTTTTGTTAATAAGATTTCAGGCCAATAGACAAAAAATATACTGTTTAATAGACAAACAGAGCATCTACTCAGATATGGGTATCCACTAAAAATAATGTTTAAAGTGATAAAATCACTTGGATTAAAAAATAAAAAATCAATTACATCTTTAGAAAATGCATTGGTTGCAAATACTGGTTCATTAAACCATTATCCTTATAACTATACCAGTAGGTAAGTCTATTTTTTTACCTGCACATTATTTTATTCATCTATTTTTTCTTTAAATTCCTGAAAATGAATACTTAAGGTTAATACTTTTTCTGAATATTCCAATAATTTCCCACACATACCTCCCAGATAATGGTATGATATTAGTGACAATGGTGTCTTCATCTACCTAATGTCTTACCATTATGTGGGAGATATTTCTGCCACACCTTGTATTAACAACACCAGGAATATGAAGGAGTCCAGGTGTCTGAATAATTTTTTTTTAAATTTCATTTAAAATATTGGTTATAAATTCATGCACATTTTTTTTATTCCAAATGTAATCGTAGACTAATCTTGAAAGGTTTAAATTGCTACATAAAATATCTTCAAAATGTTAACAACAAAAGCTTACAAATCAACTGTAAAAGTTGGAAGATAACTTTTGAAATATAAGCAAGCAATTTTAAATTTATAATTGTCATTAATGTAGCTTATTGAATTGATTCCACAATCCATTTTCTTTAAAATAAACTAATGTTTAAATTTTGTAACATATTTTTAACTTGTTAATTTTTGGTTTATTTTTATTTCCATAACGAAATAAAAATACTGTTAGATTTTATAATAAAAATGATGAATTAATAAGAGAAGAATGAAGTTGAAGGTCTTAATTCACAAGCTGCTTTTATTAAAATAGAAAAGGCAACAAATTGAGTGATAACATTTACATAACATATAACAACTCTTTACTTCTTTTTCAGTTATTAACAATATTTGTTGCACTGATAAAAATAAATGTCTGTTGAAATGAGATATATCTTTTTTAAAAGGATGTATCTCATTAAATGCAAAAATGCAAATAAAATGAAAAATAACAAAAATTAACATTACCCAAACAAATATTAAACATTTAGAGTTTTCATAAAAAAAGATCAACTTCTAGAAGCTGATCTCATTCATTAAGATATTCTGTTGAAAATGAAATGAATGCTGAAATATTAAATGTCCTCTTTGTTTATCCAGTTTTTATCATCTGTAAGCATATTCTTAAAAATTATTCCATCATTTTCATTATATAAAAAAAGAAATGGAAATGATTTAATTTAAAATATATGTTTTATTTATTTGGCAAATTTTTTAATTACAGAGGCAATTTGATACCAATATGTATTCAGTGTCACCAGACCGTAAATACGTCTTAATTACATATGATGTTACGAGGGTAAGTAAATACTACTTTTTATTTTTTCTTAAATATATAATTACTTATTTTCTATTTAGTCTCTTTGGAATTTCTCCATTAAATGATATGACAAGCTCTTTGATTTTGAAATAGTAATTATCTGCAATGCTCTTCATTAACGTCTTAAATTTATTTGTGCAAGGGAGGTAACTTGTAAAATACTAAGCATCTCAACTTAATTATAACTGTTCGTTTTATATTGACCAATAAATATGAGGGTGCTTTGAATTTTTCCTGTTCACTTATTTTTTTTTTATTTTTGTTACTTGTGGCTATTAATACACATGTACATATATGCATTAATATTATTAGTATAGAGACTGCAGTATCGTGTTAAATATTCAATAAGAAAACTGAGCCATATATGTTTAACATAACTGTGATGACCATTTTTTAAAAATAATTTACTTAGTTTACAATACACTCAAAAAGAGTGGCTATGAATTTTAATAAAACAATGATCTTTCTAAAAGTTATCATAAAAAATAATCCAAAAAAACAGTTTTGTAATTGATAATATTTTAGACTGTCTCTATTGCCAGTTTTTGTGTAACAAATTCAAATGCAGGACTTTAATACAAGAATGTTGTCATTTCATTAAAGATTATTGTTTTTAAATAAAGATTGATTTTGTACAGCTTTGTGTTACCTTTTAGTTAACCCAGGTAACACTCAATCTACCAATAAGACAGAAGAAGAAATTCAATAATGGAACTGATATAAAAAAAAAAAAAACAACTTTTACTGAAAATAACAACAAACTGGGGATATAGCAGTACTTTCACAAAATTCATTCTCTCAAGCTGTTTGTACTAATTTCTGTTTAAATTTCTAGTATGAGGAGTTATCATTATTTACATTAACTAATCTCTTCATCTTTATTATTGTTACCATGTTTTTGCCATTATACACACTGGCCTTCTTCAGGTGTCTTATTGAGCCAGATATCCTTAAGGGAAATTTGAACTGAGTCCTTTATTTAATTTATAGAGGTAAATCATTCTCGTTCCACTATTCAGGTTTTGGCATATCTCATCTTGCTCTCTTTTTAATACTGCTGAGTTATTACTTGCACTCAAAGAAGATCAGAGAACATACAATTTATCTGAACCAACTATATACCATGATTAAAATCATAAATTGAATAGTTTTCCACATTTGTTTAAAAATGAGCCTTAAAAAAAAGGAAAATCAATGATAAAGAGATATTTCCAGAATAACAGAAAACAAAAATACAGAAAAATGTAAAAGGAAATTATGCATTTTCCTTCAAGTATTGTGAGATGTTATCTTGAAATCAAGGCTATAGTAATTTGTAATACAGTCAGAAAAAAGAGTTTAATGATTTTTACCAAAATTTTTATTCCAACTCAAAAAATATGCCTATTTTTCTGATAATGTAATTATTTTTTTCCAGATTTTCAGACATTCTTATTTAGCTAAATATGAAATCTATGACGTCAATACAAGGTAATTTTTCTTTCAATCAAATCAGTGTAAAAAAAAAAGAAAATAAGTTTTTATTGAGAACATTTACTGGCCTTTAATCTTAAGCAGATTTATATTCTGTGCCTTTAAGTTAATTTCTCATTTCATGATCAGGATATTACATTCAGTAACACTTTGCAATTACACTTGTCTTTGTTATTAATGATAAGGAAGATAAGAAAAAATTCTTTTTCTGCAATTATTTATTGCATCAAACAGTATCTGATTACTCTTATTCATAATCAAAATGTATATTTTACTTGTAGATTTCCTAATAAATTTTCTTTGATTAATATATCATGCTACATAAGAACTGTCATACAATGGTTAATCTTACAAGTTATTGAATGTTAATGGTGTACATAATATTTGTGCTGCCTGAGGTAGTCATAGAATTTCCTACCTCTCTAAACAACATTTAAAAACTGGACAATATCTAGAAAGTATAAAGAAAGATTACAATTACAACCATTTATTGTTTTGAATGCAAACCAAAAATAATAGCAGCAGCAACAAAATAAGATGCTGGAAAAAACATATTTAATAATAATTAGAAAAACTTTTTTAGTAAATAGTAATTTTTAGGATAAAACATAATTATATTAACAATATTGTTGTGGTGTCCTCCCTCTAAAGAGTCTATGTTGGACTCTTCCACCTACTATAAGATTAGTAGGAGAGAAGGCCTTGGGAGAACAGTCGAATAGATCTGTTCCAGCTGTGCTGGTCAAACTCTCTACCTGGAGGCAGAGAGGATCCCCAGACGAGGCTATGTCAAAGGGCAGAGCCTCGTCTCAGGAAACAGCTACCCAACCCCGTTTTATACAGGGTCTATGGGGAATTTTTGGCCAAGCCTATGTGCTCGGATTGCCCCACATTAAAATTGGCCTTGTGCCACATCCTAGCTCATGGGGAGGCTGGTAACTATAACAGTCGAATAGATTGAACGCTGGGTCAACCGATGTACACTCACTAGTCATGTAATACTCTACTGTTGTACTTACTGTTTAATATATGATATAACTGCAACACTTGTTTTATTTCTTTAACCATTTACTTGGTCGCAACAAATATAGACACTATGATAAAAATCCCCTAACAGTAACTAACTCAAAGTAGAATGATAGGAAAAAATGTCATAATTATTCATGTTATTGTATTATACTAATTCACCTAAATGCTGCCATCACCAAAACTTGCTGCCCTGGGCAGATAGAGCCCCTCCAAAGTCCACAAATGTTGAGAGTAAATTAATTTTTAAATTTAGCCGAAATTAAAAAATATTTATGAATAATAATAAATCTAAAAGTTTTTTGATAATAAAAAAATCCTGTTCTCATTATAACAGCTAAATTTAGTGTTTGTCCTTGAAATTATTTGCAATGATACATTAAATCAAACCTTTGTTTTTTTTTTTTTTTGTTTTTTTTTTGTTTTTTTTTGTTTTTTTAGGGTCACTACAGCTTTTGGTGGTCCTCAAAGAGAGAAAGACCGGTTGTCATTTGTTCTTTGGGCTCCTGTGGGCCACAGTGTGGTAAGTTGTTATTTATGTTTTTATCGTTGCAAAATAATTAATTTTTTTTGTAAGCCTCAAACAAGATAAATTTGTACATAATCTAATAGGTGAATTCTATAGCAGTTAAGGAAAATGAAATGTTTTTAAAAAAAATCTTTCTTTCAAATGTGTTGCATCACTCTCATGTAAATTGAATAAAATAGATGATTTCTGTTAATTAACTTAGGAGACATGAAAAATAAACTTCTTCCTTTTTTTTCTGATAAATTTCTCTTTATGACTTTCTAACTGGGTTAATATTTTTGTTTGCAAAGGTCTATGGGATGGATAATAATTTGTATTACCAGCCAAATATTAATGACTCAACTTCAGTTATTCAACTCACCAAGGATGGTGAACATAATTTAATATTCAATGGAGTTCCAGATTGGCTCTATGAAGGTAAGATAAAAATCATTGACTTTAAATTTACTGGGACACTTTTATTTTTTCAGTTGTTTTACTTTGTCATATCTTTACTTATAAATAAACTTAAAGAAAATAAATAATTTAATTGATTATAATGAAAAGAATTCAGTTTGATATTTATAAGAAAATATACTATTAAAATGTATAATTTTTTATGTTAGAGTTGGAAACTTCCTTTATTGAGAAATAATTTGATCATACACATTGTAAAAAGTACAAACTGTTGATTGATTCCAAATTTAATACTAAATTTGAATGGTGTTAGAATTTTATTACAAGTTTCATCCAAGTTTCAATTTTAAAAAATCTAATTAACTGATAGTAAGCAACAGAGTTCAGATTTGTTAAAATGTCTAAAGATATTTTTATGCTATGCTAAATACATGATAATTTGGAAAACTTTTATTTTTGACATGTTTTGTCAAATAAACAATCTAACTTTCAAAAATGTTTGAAATTAGATTGTTTGGTCAGCAAAAAATGCCAAAATAAAAAAGTTCTAAATTGTCATATATTTACCATTCTGTTAGATTCTCATCCAAATTAAAATCATTTTATGTTAAATAAAAAGTTTAATGAAATAATTGTCAGCAGGATGATTTAGTTTGGCTGTTACTTTGATACTGAGTTGATTTCTGACTTCATGCTGTATGCAAGGAAAATAAATACAAAGAACATTATTAAAAAAAAAAAAACTACAAATTTTTTTCTCATTTTTTTATTGGTTGAATGTGCAAAAATAGCTTATTTTTAATTTTTATTTTTAAGTAAAAATAAGTAACTCATCACTGATTAGAAACTATTTTGTAAATCATGAATTTCTTGTAATGGATTTGCTTTGATATTTGTGTGGAGTGAGTCGCCATGGACAAATGCAAAATAAGTAATAGAAATGTCCAACAAAGTTTGCAATAAGCAATAACAATGAAAAGAAAAAGAACAGGACAAAAAATAATATAAAGCAAGCAAACAATATATACAAGGCAAATTAACAGTAATATGTCAAAAGTTCACAAACTAAGAATCAGGGTTGACACACAAAGCAAGTTCAGACAAGCGAACATAGCATTCTGACTTCAAAACAAGACAAACAGGGACTGTATCAGATTAAACTGAGAACTGGTCTATTTTATTGGCTAGGAAAAAATTCCAGCTTGCATTTGCGTGCTTCTGCCTATAAAAGGGGAGGAGATAGTATTTTTCAGTCATTCCCATAATGATTGAAACCAACAATTTGTGTTCAGAATAGATCATGGGTTATCTCCTCTATTCTTCACATACCTAATGGAAAAAGTATATAAAATGGCTACATATATATATATATATATATATTCTCTCTCTCATATATATATGAGTGAGAGAGGGAATTAATACAACTAAAAGTTTGTCATTTAGCTGATTGATGTCACTTTCAGCATCCCAACTCCATCCACTCTTCAGTGGGTATCAGCAATTTACTGCTTATATTTTTTTCTTTTTTATGCACTTATCATTGGTGTAAGTTTTTTCTGTATTGTTTGTGTTTGTGTGTTTGTGCCTGTCAACATGGATGTTCATGTGTAGGGTGTCATGATCATTTGTCCTATATGTTGTTTTTTTTTCACTTTACACTTGTTCTTTAGCTTTTTATCTTTCTTTTTTGCCTTTTAAAAGTGCATACATCTTTATATTATATAGCAGACTGATACTAATTCTTTTTTCCCTATGATTAATTGAACTTTTATGCTGAAGACTTTTTTCATTTTTATAACAATTTTTAAGTATATTATTTTCTTAAATATATTTTCATTTTCTTCTGCCTTTCCAGAGGAGATTCTTTCAAGTAATACTGCTGTTTGGTTTTCAAAGTCAGGCAGTTACCTTGCATATGCCTCATTTAATGATTCAATGGTGACGAACTTTGACTACCCATATTATGACTATATGGAAAACCAATACACTAAAATCAAGCAAATAAGATATCCCAAGGTATGAATTCAATTGAACTTTTCTTTTTCACAGATTTTTTTCTCATTGTTAATATTTTTCAAAGCATTTTAAAGAATTTCCTAGTTTATAGAGACACAGCAAAAATAGTTGGTATGAATCAAAAAATTGTTCTCTCATTATTCTTGGAAAAGAAATGGTTCACACTGAGAAAATAAAAAATTCATTTGACATGACAGCTTGTGGTGAATACAAAATAAAAATAACTCTTTTCTCCACTGTTTCCAAATTCACAAGCCTATGCAAAAATTTATTTTGACCAATAGAAAAAGGGATACGCTCTGGGCTGAAGAAAAACCAAGGCAAAGTTTCACGAGCTTATGTGAAAATATATTTTGACCAATGGACAAGGGAGTGGCTTACCGAGAAAAAAAATAAAAAGCCGATGTGAAATTGCTTTTTTGATATAAATAGGCAGAGAAAGTTGAATCAAGGCAGAGAGAAAAAATGCAGAAAGCCAGTGTGCCACGTGTCTGAATAACGCCAATGTCAAATTACACGCTGATACATTATCAGCCTCTAATGAGAGCAGGGCAATTTCAAAGAACTTTATACAACTCCAAAGCTAAGTATCTTAAAATATCTTTTCATGTTGAATACAACCATATAACTTTTATGTGAAAAACAAACTCTCTCAATTTGTTTTAAACATTTTGAAATATTATTTTGTTTCCAATGATTTAATATGAACATTTTCTCTTCTTGACAATCCATCAAAACTATGAACTCTGTGTGATTCCTTTTCCTGAAACAATCTACTAACAGCTTCACATATGTAAATTTGTAAATAAATTCCTTATCTTGTTTCGTTAAATATAACACGTGTTTCCTTGTCATTATCCCTCAATACTTCAAACTTCTAAAAAGCAGCTGCTCAGTTTGACTCCTGGAAATTGACTGACAGACTGGCCACTTTCATTACTCTATGAAGTGATGACACTAAATGGCCATAATGTGATCCACGTGATTTCATCTCTATAGATTTTCATCTCTATTTCATCTCTATAGAAGGCCTTTGTATCCCTATAAATGCCTTATTTTCACAAGACTTAACCAAGTGTGAAACTTTTTTATTTGCTAAAATGAATACAATAAAACATTTTTCCCAATTTGGCAACAATTGATTGTCTTCTTTTGCTCAAAATTGTTATTAGTTATTTATTATTAAAATATTTCTATGTAATCTTTTACAAGATTATCTTTTATTATATTATATAATAATTTTATATTACTTTAATCTTTTACTTTTCCATCTTTTTGAATCAATATAATGATCAACAATCTAAAATTTAAAATCTGCCAAACATTAGTCATAACTACTTATGCTACACTAATGTCCTTAAGACAGGTATAAACCAAATTCTCTTAGTGTTCCATCCTCTTGTCAGTCATATTGTCAATGGTATGCTTTGGATACAAAAAAAGTAATAGATAAATAGACAGTTTTGTTTCTTAGAAAGCCCTGATCAGGCAATAGCAGCTATTTATCTGTTATTATTCTTCACAGGTGGAAAATTCTGACAGTGAATCTCTCTTACAATATTTTTCATTTAGATGTATTAAAAATAATTTTAAATTGCTAAATTCCTAAAAGACTTTTCCTTAATTCCTTCTTCCCCAGGCTGGCACAGCAAACCCAACTGTAAAATTGCGAGTGATTTATTTTGAAAGTGGCCAACAGGTGGAGCTTCGTATTCCAACAGATTATACAAAGCCTAACAGGTAAATAACTTAATTGTGTATCTTAATTGTTTTTTTGCATTGACTGTAACTTTTGCTGTTCAAGAGGTAATTACCCACTTATTAAAATTATTATGATATCTGACATGAAATAGTAATTAATAATTTGAAAATCAATTTTGCTCAGAATAGAAAATAATGAAGTAAAATGTCATTAAATACAAAATATAATTGATTTTTTTTTCTTTTTAGGAAAAAATGAAAAGATTCTTTTCATGAACAATTAAGAACAAAGACAATTTTAAAATACCGTAAATTGTGATGTATAAGTCAATCTGTAGTCCAAATCAACAGAATTAGGCCTATAGTTCCCATATAAGTCAACCCCCAAACTTACAGTAGGCTACCAATGACCCAAAACTGTGACAGGCTTGAAAACTTAACCCAAAATTATTTTTTTAGGCTTGAAAACTCAACTCGTATACCACAATTTACGGCATTTAAAAAAATTAAACCTGAGTAGAAATAGATATTGAAATGTTAAATATACAGTGATGTTCAAAAATCAACATTACTCACTTCATGTTTTGTAAGACAGTTATCATTTCGCTAAGGACCTAATTTTTTTTGGCGAGGGTACTATTTTGGTAAATTTTAATCAATATATGACTGACCATTAAAATTTGTTGTGGGTGGTCAAGTGGTCATGCTTACACTAGTGCTCTACAAGTGCAAAATATTTGAGCACTTCTGAACTTTTTTATTTGATATGTAATGAAGTAATTTTTTAATGTGATTATAAAATGTAATTAAAAGTTGTTTAAATCAAATTTTTATACTAGAAGGATTTAAACCAGAGAAGTAAGGCTAACATGGTAGCCATGGTAAAATTCAAAACCTAATTGCATAATTGCCAATGTTGGTTAAAATCCCACATTGTGTGATTATATATAAATGTATTAGTTATTACATAGACTGGATTATTAATATTAAACTGGGTTTTTTTAACCAATACCCATGGAAACTGATAAAGTATCATTGGCTTTATCAAAAAACAAATATTTGTTGATGTTTGCCAACATCTGGCCTGAACACAAGAATGTGGTTTTAGGCCTTTCTAAGTAAATTCAATTTGATTGTATCTGATGATAGAGCTGATATCTATCATAGAAAAGCCATGAAATACAATCCTTGCTGTAGTGTTAAACATTTCAAACCATGTTCCGCAGAGCCTTTTCAGTTACTGGAACTAGCCACTGGGAAAAGACTGAATGGTGCCAAATATATTGAACTGTCTGTAAACAATCTGATGCTATAAGTTGGGAACAGTTTACCACTAGGCTGAATATTCCAACAGGATAATGCACAAAGATGATTTAAAACTTTTTGTCCAGAAGTGGTATTAACATTATGAACTGGCTGCCAAATTTCTCTAGCATGAATGCCATTGAAAATTTATGGCATGTAATCAAAACTGAAGTTAAAAATATTTAAACTCAAGATTATGAGTGTAGTATGGATTATCTCCCCTGATACATATTCTGTATTTAAATGTTCAGCCCAGACACACTCCATTCTAAGTCAAATAAAGCTTCAGATAAGTTATACCTGTATTCGTCTTTTCACTACAATTTATTTGGCTTAGAATCAACATGGAACATTGCATGAGACCACAAAGCTTCGACATCAACACTGACCATACCACATTGACTGATTTTAAAATCCAGCCAGCATGTAATTCAATCTCTCCAGACACGTATAAGCAACTTGAAGCCTCTATAATCAGCCATTACCAAAAATGTCAACAAACAAAATGGAGATTCTACGTACTCTTAAATTAGCTTCAAATGCTATTTTGTCTAAAGTGTTTAAATATTTTTAACTGCATCAAATTTTAAATAATAATATTTTAATTAAGTGTTCTATTGGCATATAATTTAGCTTTAAAATGATATTGGTATTGATTAAATAAATTTTACTACCAGCATTTAACTGAAATATAGAAATGGTTAAACACTTTTGTATATATGCACATACATATATCTGTAAAATATATATGTGCTGATATACTATAATATTTTAAAACTAATGATAATATTATTTAATATTAATGATTTATTAACTGTACTTACATATGACAAACAACCATTTTACATAAATAAAATGTTTAATTAACCTTAATTAGGTAGACTTTTTAAAAGGAACCCATTCAGTTATCTACTTTATATATAGATATTCATTATGCTTGATGTGTTAATAGCATGACACAAAACCACAGTAAGGGATAAACTAACAAATCTGTCTTTAAGATGAGATTGTTATCACAGAACAAGTGCCTGGAGGTCAGGCTTGTTAGGCTATTCAAGTATATCTATTTCAAAGCAACAAAAATCTTTCGTAGTGCATCGTTTTCATTGTTGACTTCAGCTGGATCCAAAATTAATTGTTTTAACTCTGTGTCTCAAAATAGTGACCAAAATACATTTCATTGATATTGTTCATAATAAACAAGAAAGAAAAAAGAACGAAGAAAGTAAGTATGTAAAAAAAGAATGAAATAAAATTAACGTGGCTTGTCAGGCTACATAGATCTGAGCCCTATCTGAGCTGGAGACATACATAGGCAATGTATTTCTTGCTTTAATTTTATAAATAATTTTTAAAAAATCTCTAATGATTTGTATGCCTTCCTTTTTTTTTTTTCAAAGAACACATTTTTATTTCAACTTATTGTTTCCAAATGTTCATTTTAAATAATTTATTCCATACAGTATAAGGTTTTTTAGCGGAATGTATCAATTGAAAAAGGGCAAATGAAATTTAAACTGACTTAGTCAGAAAAAATAAAAAAGTGGCAGCCTTAATTCATTGTCTAGAGGGTTGGGGTGAGGAGTATGACTGTGGTAGTGTTGAGGAAATATAATATCAGTCAGCAGTACTGGTCATAAATGTACAATAAATTAAACTAAAAATTCACAGACAGAAAGATACATAAACACATTAACATATAGACATAGATACAAATACATACTCAAGATAGATACACATGTTTAACAAGTCTGCAAATATAGTAAGTTCAGTTGGACACCGTCAGTAACAAAAAGAGCAACATGACACACTTCACTCTGTCAGAAATTTGAAAATAACATGCTGTACTGCTTGACATTCGCACCAGAAGCTCCAATACAAATATTTCAGAGGGTTTGGGCATCAATCTGAGGACAGAGCAGGGGATTCGGAAAGAGATGAGTCAAATGGTGATTACGAAGGTGTTTGGTGCGATCTCTAGTGATGGTGATGTTATACCGCCATTCATCTTCCCACATGGAGGCCTACATCAAGTGCCTTGAGGAGGTAGTGCTACCCTGGGTAAAGAGGGTTATCTGCTGGAAGACACTATGTCTGGCAAGAGGACTCTTCACCATGCCACACAAGTAGGAGAACCCAGTCATGGCTATCAGACAATTTCTGAAACCACATCACCACTTACATCTGGCCACCTAACTCCCCAGACTGCAACCCCCTTAATTATTATGTGTGGGACACAGTTGAACAAGAGACCAACAAAACCTCTTTCAACACCAAATATGAACTAAAAGCAAGGATTATGGCAATATTCACCAACTTAAACAAGGAGACTGTGCAGAAGAATTGCAGGTTATTCTGAAGTAGTTGAAGCCACTGGTGATTTTATTGAATAAATTTACTTGTTAGTATTTCAAAATAGTTTTGTTTAATTTTGGTAAATATATCTGTTAAAATGAGATGTCAGTGTTATTTTCCATTTTTGCATAATTTAGATGACAATTTATCCATCGCACCCTGTATACACACACACACACACACACACATATATATATATATATATATATATATATATATATATATATATATATATAGTTTTAGGGTATGCTATATTTATTGGTTAAAGTGCTCAATATCAGGAGACCAGTACACTATTTACATTATTCAGACTATTGTCCTCATCTTTGTTGCCATATTTATCATGTTTCAGTCGTTGTACACTCTCTTCAGGTGGTTGGAATGTCGAACTGAACTCTTTATTTCAGTAGACTGTTCTAGTTCCATGCCATGCCATGTCTAATGGATGTCAGTTCTCCACCACCTTAACCAGGTATTGAACTCACACTCTTTAGGTCCTGTCACTGGATCTAACTAACGCCTTTATCCACTGTGCCATGTGACCTTGAGGAGATAACTGATAACTTACAAATTAACAAGTAGGTAGGTAATTTAAATATCAACAGATAAACACATAGAAAGGTACAATGTAAATAATTAGGTACTATTATTTTACTCAGAAATGATATTAGATAATCTTGGCAGGGATTGAACCTGCATTACCTTTGTTTTCAGGTGTGATTTACCATTAGGCTACATAGGTCCTTACAGCAAGGCAAAACTCTGTGACCCTGTTTAAAAAAAAATATACATCTTTCATTAGGACTTTTCGATGTTTATATCTGCTAACTTATATTTTCTTATCAAAAAACAAAGTAATTTTATGAAGTTTTCAATCCAGTTTTACTTATGTACCGAGAGATGCATTTTCTTTAATAAGGCCAATGATCAAGGCCAATAGATGCTAATTTTCCTATTTGTAAATAAATGTATACTCACTATAATGACACTGACAATAATAAAAAAAATTGTTCAGTATATAAATATACGAGAAATATCAAATTTTCTTTTTTTTATTGTAGATTCTATCAGATGATCTAAAAAGGTGCCCTACATTGGAACGCAAAATTAATACTAGATAGAAATGAGCTACCCAAGATAGATACGAGTAATCAATAACTATATATGAAATATCTTATACACCTTCGAATTATTTACATTTCATCCTTATACTGCTCTCTCCTATCCTGTCTCATAAACTGCTGAGTTTGCAATTGTCGGTAATTCTGTCATCCAGTTTTTTACATTAAAAATCCAAACATCCGAATTTCAAACAATAAGAAAATGAAAATAAAGAAAACATGGATATGCCTGTTAAATAAATCATTTGAATTTACAAACATATGTACATGAATTCAAAAGAGTCAAAAAGGAGTAAAAATAGTATTTAGTTGAGTTAGTCATTGGGTAGTTGGTACACAGAAAAAATCTATGGTTTAGAAAAGATTTTGATCGTCAGTCACTAACAATCTGATGTTGTTGTTGATGATTCATTTGAAGTTGCTGACATAGGTTTCTTTCAGCATGCACTGGGGGAAGGAAAAAGCTATGTAGCCACATCTTCTCTTGTGTTTGAATGACTTGAAGACACTTGCATCTCTGCTCTTAAAAGTCAAAATCTTTTTATCTTATATTTTTATAAGAAATTTTTTTAAGAATCTTTTTATCTTATAATTTTATAAGAAATTTTTCCCAAAAGTAGGTTTGAGAAAATTAGTTTTAGTTTACTCTGATTGGTCAAATATTTCACATGGTGATGTTAATCTCTAATCAATAGACACTTTGATTTAAATAGTGTTTGTTGTATTGTGGAATACTTTTGTTATGCTTATAAATATTGTCTGTTATTGTATAGAAAATAAAGTTTGGGTATGTATGTGGGTATGTCATTGTGTTGAAAATAGGGTTTATTTCCTAAACATTCTACTCATCCTTTTCAGTGAATACTACTTGGCAAATGTTGAATGGCTGAATGATGATTATCTGGCCGTAACTTGGACCAACAGACCACAAAACTATAGTATTATTACAGTTTGTGGAGGGAGAGCAGGAACCTGTCATTTTGTAAGTAAAATAGTGATTTCAGCATATCTGTCATTTCCTGTATATGAGATATATAAAAAAAACAATTTGTTTATCAAATATTTCTAAAAAGCAAATAAAGTAATTATCAAATTATGCTTGTGGTTAATATTTCTTCAGTATAACAGAAAACTGGTTTATTACACATTTTATAGTTTATGAAGTTAACATTTCAAGATTTATTCATGTCATTCATATAACTGTATTGTTTTGTTTTTAGAATGTTGTAAATATATCATTCTTGTGATGATGCAAAGATTAATAAAATAAGTTAAGCTTTTCTTTATAAAATATGATCTACATTTGAAATATTTTTTTATTATCATAGTACCCCTTCAAAATGACAGGATTCTTTTTATATGGATCAGCACTTCTGCCAAGAACTGGCATATTTCTACCTAGGATAGAAATACTATTCTCTGACCTTCTGAGTACTCTAGGAAAAATCTTACATTCTTTTTATATATATATATATATATATATATTACAATTTACATTGTTTTTATTAACAGTGCTTAGTATCAGAGATAGTCATTATAGTGTCAGGTGTATACCAACACTTAAAAATCACTTGTAAAAATGCTTAAAAATTACAATCTTAGCAAGTTTCCTGGTACAGCTATCAGTTTCAATTTGGTGCCAGAAAATAAAAAATTTAGATTGTAATTTTAAGTATCCTTACACGTGATGTTAAGTGTTGATCTACATATAACTTTCTCTTTATCTCTCATATATATATATATATATATATATATATATATATATAATGGCTGGCTACTCTTGTTTTCCAAGCACACATATCTACTAGTGCAGCTAGCCAGTCCCTGTTGCAGGAACCTGCTCAGGCATATTTGTGTTTGTTCAAAACTCACTAGGGTTTTATATCGCAAGTATGCTGAGTGGATCTTAATTACAGTTTTTGGGAGTGGCACCATTATTTGTCATGATCACCAGTTTGAACAATGCCAGTACACTCAAACCCTCAGTCACAATGACTTGTGACTTCATGCTAGCACAACAATCAACATCTTAAAAACAGTTCCATTTACCCAGTTTCGCTCACAAGGCTTTGGTCAGCCCCTGGTATAGTTTTCAGGCACTTTCCAAAGACGCTGCATGCTGGGGCTGGGGTCATCTCCCCAGGCTGATAATATAAGGAATTAACCTTCCTGACAAATCGACCTTTGTGAAAGTCAAACTTAGGTCTTATGGCTGGAAAGGGAATGTTCTAACCACACACTCATGAGCTGAGATATATATATATATATATATATATATATATATATATATATATATATATATATATATATATATATATATATATATATATAATAATTATTATATATATATAATAATTATTTTCTATTTTAAAAATATGGTTCCTTCACTACACAGGAATTACCATGTTTCAAAACGGAAACTAAAATTTTAATTTTATGCGTAAATGTAAAATTTTAGTTTCTGTTTTGAAACATGGTAATTCCTGTGTAGTGATGGAACCATATTTTTAAAATAGAAAATAATTATATTATGCTCTACTGTTTTTTATCGAGCACTGTTTTTTAAAAATAAAAATAATTACTAAGAACGCCAGATTGTAAATCTTACTGTTCTTTCTTATTATTTATATATATATTTGTAATAGATCTTGTTTAAAAAATAGATTGGGTTGCTTGTCATTACATAAAATATAAAAAGTAAATATTGTTGCTTATTCTTCAGGTTGAGATTCATTTTTTCTGTACTTTATTTTAATTCTACACTTTTCATCTGAAGTAACATTTCATGTTCATTTGCAATTTCAGAATATTGATGAGAAAGTAGCAAATGGATGGATTGAAACAGTAAGTATATTTTTGATTTGATTTGTTAGTTTAATATTAGGAAACTATAGAAAAAAAAACATTTACAGGTATTGTTAGCTGACTACAGTTTTTATTTATTTACTTGTTGTCACATAATATTATAGGTAGAATTTATTAAAGAATATGTCAAAGCTCTCATCCACTCATATATATGCATATCTAGTGAAACTTTGCACATCCAAAATACAGGGTGGGATGGATAAATTGTTATGTAAATTACAAAAAGATTAAAATAAAACTGATATCACATTTTAAGATTTATTTACCAAAATTACACAAAAATTTCTTGTAATGCTAACAAGTAAATTTATTCAATAAAATTGCCATTAGTCTTCAACTACAGCCTCCAGACAACTTCAGAATCTCCTGCATATCTTCTGGATGGTCTCCTTGTTTAAGTTGGTGAATGCTGCCATAATTGATGGTGATGCTTCAGTTCATCTTTGGTGTATTTTTGTCTTAATTTGTTGGTCTCTCATTCAACTGTGCCCCACACATATTAATCAAGGGAGTTGCGATCTGGGGAGTTAGGTGGCCAAATGTAAAGGGTGATGTGGTTTCAGAAATTGTCTGAAAGCCATGACTGAGTTCTCCTGCTTATGTGGCATGGTGCAGTCCTGTTGCCAGACATAGTGTCTTCCAGCAGTCACCCTCTTGAACCAGGGCAGCACAACCCCCTCAAGGCAATTGATGTAGGCCTCCATGTTGAGTTTGAGGCCCTGTGGGAAGATGAATGGAAGTATAACATCACCATCATTAGTGATCACTCCAAACACCTTCATAATCACTTTTAGACTCATTCAACTCTTTCCAAATCCTCTGCACTGCTCTCAGATTGACATGTAAACACTCTGAAATGTTTGTATTGGAGCTCCTGGTGCAAATACCAAGCACTACAGTATGCTGTTTCCAAATTTCTGGTGGCATGAATTGCATCATGGTTATCTTTTACTCATAGACGGTACCCAAACTGTGAAGTCATCAAAAATAAACAATGCACATGTGCAGAATTAACAATATAAAATAACGACAATTTACTCATCGCACCTTGTATATTAAGTGTGTGAAAAGATATTAACCTTAATACTTTAAAATATTAATCATTTACTACTTTTCTATATTCTGCTCAAAACCTATTAATCTTATAGGCCTAAAAAGACTCCCTTCACAAAAGAATGTGTAATATCCAACTCTGGATGAATTTGGATCTTGTCTAAAATCAATATATAAATTAACTTTAAATTCATTAAACTTGATACACAAACACTATTTTTGTCTTAATTTTATGTTTACCTTTAGAATGCTTTAATTATGGTTTAGAATTATTTTAAACTTCTCACTGTAAAATATAATAAACTAATATTTTTATTAAGTTATCATTAAGAGGCATATGGATGAAATTCACCAGAGTAACATTAAAAGTGGAATTTGATGATTAAGCATAGAATAGTGTAGTGTTTTTATTTAAAGTTTACTTTGGTATGTGACAACACACAACCTGTTTTGAATTGAAAACAAAGTAAAAAGGGATTGTCAGTAGACAAGAATTAATGCAAGTGTTACTATGAGAATAATATTATCAAATAATGCTTGTGGTTAATATCTCTTCATTATAACAGAAAACTGGTTTATTATACATGTTTTTATAACAAAGTTTTATTTTTCATATTTACAGATGCTTTTTTTCCTTTTTTATGATCCTTATGAAATTAGAATTTGTTGAAAGGAGATAGTTATATAAAAATTTTATAAGAAGAATAAAGTGCAATAGTGAGGAAGATGGAATATGGTAGTGTTATCAAGTAACTATAATTTACTCTTCATAATGACTCAATTTGGCAATATTTTGTTTTTTCATTTTCATCTTGGTAAATAGGCTCTCACTCAGGATTGACAGATTGGACTACAAATAGTAAATTGGGCTATATTTGAAAACTAAACACTACTCAATTTGAAATTGACTTCCTTCCCATTAAGCAAATTTTTCTCAGCTTATTTTTAAAAATAGCCTAAAATTTTGCAAGCAACAAAATTCAAAATGTAGTAATGTTGAGCTTTCAAAAGTAGTTCAGTCTGGCAACCTTGTTCCCACTATTTCATGCCTTAAATTTAAAATACTTTGCATCTTCAGCTGCTGAAAAATATTTAAAATCTTTTCAACAACGTATTAGCTCTGATTACCAAATTTTTCATTTTTGGTAATTACCAACAATTTGTAATTTTAATTAGTTACCTAAGTGTATTAGTACTCCTCTGCAAAGTTTGCTTCAACCTAATATTGCACTCTTTGATTAAGAGAAATAAACAGGAAAAGAGAAATTACAAAAATCAATAATTATGCTTTTTACATTTTCTCTCTTTTCAAAACTCTTTCCTATTTACAAGGTTGCATCAATAAGTCCATAGCATGATACAGATATTAGTTGAATTTTAGGATGAACTTTTTATTGTGTAATGTTCAGTGTATGTAATTAATAGAGAAACTTAGAATTAAGTACATTAACAAGGAAGGAGATTATATTGAAAATTAAATATATTTACATAAAGTAAACTCTTTTCTTGATAATTCGGCTATGGACTTATTGATGAACTTACATATATAGACTTTCTGTATTCAGTATTATACAGTTCTCTTTGGATGAACCATTTCAAAATGGCTTCTTTCTCTTATTAATTCTAAAATTAGATGTTTTTAAGCATTCTGATGATAGTTATTTATAAAAAAAAAAAAAACTCTAAGTGTGCTTAAAGTATTTGTACTTTAAAATAATTTAACTGAAATTATCAATCAAAATTATCTCTTACTTGTCTGATTATTTTTTTTCTTTCTCTTAAAGCTACGCCCATATTTTGTACCAGATGGCAGCAAGTATTTCATCAAATTACCTGTTAATGACGGCAAAAGTGGACACTACAAACATGTCTGCCAGGTGTCTGTAAAATCCGTAAGTGGCAGTGCAACTTTCACATATTTGAACTTTTTTTTTTTAAGAAATAAACTAAGTAATATAAATATTTAGAAAAATTTTAGTAAGATTTTGGAAATAATAGTAGTTGTTTTTGATGGTGGTGGTGTTGATGATGATAATGTTGTTGATGGTGATGAAGAGGACACTAAAAACTACTTGTATTTGTCCATGTTTGCGAGGAACTCCAGAATGATGATAGGCCAGTTAGTACGAACCCTGCAATTTTGAGGAGACATGTTTGATACAAGTAAAACTCAAAAAACGTCAAAGAGAGAACCTTTAACACAACAATATTGATTTATTTAAATGAGTTTCGTAAGAGATTAATACAGATTGATACATTGATAAATAAATGTAGATAAAAAAAAAATTATGTCACAAATTCATTATCTTATCTCTTTATGAAAAATTATTTTCAAAAATAAATAAACAAGCGCACGACATTGGGTATAATAGAAAGGGAGGAGTATCTGAAGAAAGAAGAAAGGGGAAGAGAAGAAAAGTGAGGGTATTGTAAATATATCAGTGGGTGGGGTAATTGAAATGTAAGTTTCTTTTTTTTTTTTTTTTATCTAGCCTCATATGTGCTTAAGAGGAATTTTCTAATATGTAAGCAAGGAGTTAAAACTTTGGATTTCTGATTTAAAGGTTCTTTGGATCCGAAATGTAATAATTGCTAATTTTTCCTCTTGGCAGAGGTTGCAAATATTGTGATTGTTCTAAGGCTTTGCCTTTCTTAAAATTACAATTGGATCCCTTTTTTTTTCTTTTAAATTCCACACATAGTTAGTTTGGTAGAGTACCTAAGATTTGCTAGCTTAAATGATGACCTATGATTGTACCATCTACATTTGAAAGTACATTCCGCATTTCCTATGTACATCTTATTTTGGCCATTAATATCTGTTACTTCTGCTTTATAAATTATAGCTTCTGTTTTACAAGCTCCATTTAATGTACAGTTATTCTTATTTCTAGAGTTACATAAATTACTAGTGTTAACTATATTTTGCTGCACATTAGTTTTGAGATTTCTGGTGTTTTGTCTATTTATTATTGTTTTTTAATTACTAGTGCAGCTGTAGTGTAATTTAACTGTGTTTTTTTTTTGTTTTTTTTAATATCTTATATATATATATATATATAAATAAATGTGTATGGTATTGTTTTTTTTATAGTATTTATATATACAATGAGCAACAGAAATACCTCCTGTATGATAAGACGCTACTAGCAATGGTGTTTTCATCTGTCTTACCATTGTGTGTGTTATAAAATAAGACATATCTCTGCTGATTTACAGGCAAATACTCAAGAGTGAGAACCGGATGTGAACGGGACAAAGCCCCGTCACAAAATGACCATTATCTTTCTTTACAAATGTTCCCGACACACGTGTTCCGGTCAAAAAATAAAATAATATTTAAAGTGCTCTATTTTTCGTCCAATAAAAATGCTTCCCTCCTAATTATACTCGCTTCATTTCTCGAGCCTGTTAAGCCATAAAAATCGCTATAAAAGGGGTCACACGGAAGTTCAACAGGCAGTCCACAGGTGGCCGCAAACAGACCTGTCATGGTCAGGCCGAGCGATCAGCAGCAGGAGAGCATCAACCACCGTCAACATGTGTGAACTACTATGAGAGATCGACCTAGATCCGAAAGCCAGCTTATGAACTTTACCACAAGGTAGCTGTCCCGAACCCTCACGTTCCTGTTGAAATAAACCATGTAAATCTATTTCTACTATTGTCGTATTTCTTTCTTGCAACCATACGCTTGTCTATAACATGTGGGATGTATTTCTGCCGCACCATATATATATATATATATATATATATATATATATATATATATATATATGTATGTATGTATATGATAAAATATAGTTTTAAAGTATGCTATATTTATGTGTTAAAGTGCTCAATATCATGAATAGAGCATATGTAAATATAACAGTCAACATTGAAATTAACACCCAAATGTTGCTATACAATTCCATCTTCTTTCTCCTTTTTATTTGTGGTTAGAGTGAACGCTAGTCTCTACACAGGGATTTCTTATGTACGTGTATCTGTAGATGTGTATACACCATGCATACATGTATTTGTGGGTGTGTGTATCTGTTGACAGACATGCATCCCTCTGTATGTGTGTGTGTGTTAATTAGAACCTGCATAAACGTATATAATCATTTTCACTATATCCATAACAACCCGACCACAAGGCAGGTCTCAAGAACTCAAAGCACTCTTTACTGACTCCACTGTCACTGTTGGGTTCCATTTACCTATAGCAAGCCTCACTGGTTCTCAGAGAAATGATGAGTTCTGAATGCTACTACACTGTCTTCTGCTATTTGCAACTGGTGTTGCAACATACCTGTCAAAGTGAATATCCAACAGGCTCATGTTAAACCTTTCAGCTGAAAACTAACTCAAATCACAGAGCTGTTATCATGACAAACAACTATTTATTATTAGCAGTTGCTATGCAATTCCATCTTCTTTCTCCTTTTTGTTTGTAGCTGGAGTGAATGCTAGTCTCTACACAGAGATTTCTTTCCTTTTAGGCCTTTTACAATGAATTGTCAATAGCAGTGGCTTCTTTCATCACCATTTATTTCCTTGAAGTCCATTTCTTCCTTCTTAATTTCGTTTTCAGGTAACTCCATATCTCTAACAGCCAAAGGACAAAACCTATTTTATTGACTGACTGGAGCAGCTCTCTCTCCATTGTCTGGGGTTTGTGGACCCTTCTGTTTATGGACATTGGAATTGTCACACAGACCTTTTCTTCAGACAAAGAAGATTATTTTGATAAAAAGCCAATGTCCTTAACTATCTAGCTGGGGCCCACTAGATAAACCCATAAATTCTTTAATAAATTCTTTAGCTTCCAAAGTAGGGTTGAGTGATGTGAAATACATGTATTCCCAGGGAATAGGAAAATATTTGGATAATTTTTGCTCTCTGTCATTCAAGGATTCTCTCATGTACACACCCGTTTAAATTAGGAATACAGGTTTTAACTCTCACCAATTCCAATCTCAAACCATAATCAGGCATTTTTTTTATATTTTCTAATCAACCATTTTATCTGATTTCTTTTTCCATTTTAATTTTCTCGACTTTATATCCCCATATTCACTTTCATTTATTCAGTATAACTACTTTATTCACTCCAGCCATGCAACATTATTCATACACAACTAAAATCTTGGACAAGTTTTGTCACTCTACCATATATCATTTCAAATATTTTTTTATCAAAAAATATAAATATTTCCCCCAAAATTCATGATAATTTAATAAGTGATACAACTAATTATTACAATTAATTATAACACTAGATTAAAATCAAATGAGAAAATCATTTATAGAAAAATGTTTCCTCATTTCCCAGGTGATAGTATTTTTTTGTTTCCAATCCACACTACAGACCAATAATCATAGATTGATGACCTGTGAATTTTGATAAAAGACAAAAGCAATTAAGATAAAAGAAATACTAATAAAAAAAATTGATAATCCTTGATAATATATCATATAACTAGATCATATATCCATATTATAAATAGTGTGGTTATATGATCTAAAACTTCAAATGAAATGGCTGTAACTACTGTTAACTGATTTTTCCATATTTTAGTTGACAATTACTTGTGTGACTTCTGAAAGCCATCATCTCAGAGTAACTGTGTTGAAGAGTTTTAAAAATGATTTAAATATAACACCATTAAAAGAAATTTACACACACACACATATATATATATATATATATATATATATATAGAGAGAGAGAGAGACAGACAGACAGAGAGAGAGACAATTTTAAGACACACTAAGTCCCCAAAATAAATCTTTTTTGTGTACAAAAAAATACAATAAAAAAAAAATTGACAGGTACCTTGTCAATCATTTTTAATGAAATGTCTGTGTATGTGAGTCTGTATGTAAACTATATATACAGTAGTGGCCATAATATAAGGAATGGAAACAACAAAGAAATAAATATGTGTATTACTTAAAAAGTAATACATGATTAGCAATGAAATTTTTACTGAATAAAGATTAGGGTTTAATGCATAAATATTATACAAAGTTACAAAAATTTACATAATAGTTTTTTTTTAAATAAAGATTAAATGAAACAAAGAAAATAAGCTACTGGACAAAAGTTAAGGAACGATGTTAATAATTTGCATAAACTTTTAATTTACATTGTTAAAAAAACTCGATGGAGCTTTTCAACAATAAGTAAAAGTTTGTTTATCATTAGGACTTTATTTTCAAGCAATATGGCAAATTCTACATGCAAAACGCTCTCTTTTGAAGAAAAAAAACTCATTATTGCTAACTATCAAGAAGAAAAGTCAATTTCAGAAATTTCTGATATTGTTCATAGGTTGAAAAGTGTCATTCATCATGTAATTAGCAGGTATAAAACCGATAAAACGTTAGATGCAAAACCAAAAACCAGCAGACCTCCAAAAACATCGCAAAGAGAAAATCAAAGAATTGTTAGAATATCTACAAAAAAACGTTTTGAAACTGCTACATCAATTGTCCATAAATTTAATGAAGAGACAGATAATAAGATCTCAAGGAAAACGGTTGCTCGCAGGTTAAAAAATGCAGGATTGCATGCCCGTATTCTAGCTTCGAAGCCTCTCATTTCAAAGTGAAACCAAAGGGCACACCTGGAGTATGCGAGAGAACATGTTTGGACTGATGCACAATAGGATACAGTTCATTTCAGTGACGAGTCCAAGTTTACTATATTTGGTTCTGAGGGCAAAACTTACGTACGCCGTAGAACAGGTGAAAGACTGTCTTCTCAATGTGTCAAGAAAACCGGTAAGTTTGGTGACGGCAGTGTGATGGTGTGGGGAATGATTTCATCTGCAGGAGTTGGATCTATAATTCGCGTACATGGCAATATCAATGCTGAGATTTACAAAAAGCTTCTTCAGCTGTATGTGGTACCAAGATTACACCATAACCTTTATGAATCTCCTATTTTCATGCAGGACAATGCACCTTGCCACAAGGCTCAGAAGTTTATGGCTTTATTTGAAGAAGGAATTGCCCTAATGAAGTGGCCAGCTCAGAGCCCCGACCTGAATCCAATAGAAAATGTTTGGAAGATAATTGGAGAAAGGGCTCAGAAAAGAAACCCGAAAAACCAGGATCACTTATGGGAGTTATTAAAAGACGAATGGGAGGGAATTACTGCTGATTTTTTAAAGAAATTAATTAGATCATGTGGTCGATGATGTAGAGAAGTCATTGAAAATAATGGGATGTTTACCAAATATTAAATTTTGTTGATATTTTGTTCACAATCAAGTATTAACAAGATCATTCCTTAACTTTTGTCCAGTAGCTTATTTCCTTTGTTTCACTTAATCTTTATTTAAAAAAAAAACTATTATGTAAATTTTTGTAACTTTGTATAATATTTATGCATTACACCCTAATCTTTATTTGGTAAAAATTTCATTGCTAATCATGCATTACTTTTTAAGTAATACACATATTTATTTCTTTGTTGTTTCCGTTCCTTATATTATGGCCGCTACTGTATATGCACAGGTGAATTAATAAGACAGAATTTTAAAGTGCATACATGCTTTTAATATCCTATACATTTTCGATATCCTGTAGCAAAAATACTATAATTTATATATTTATATAGAAATGGTGAATTAAGGTCAAATTCTGGTCACAGTTGTTAATATCATTTTTATTCTCCTCATACACTTGGAAAAGCCATGAACCCAAAATGTCTAGCATCCAATCTAATTTAAAATCTGTATAATATAACCTTGTACATGATATGGGACATAGGAAAATATAGACTGAATGAATCTATAGAGAAACTAATCTCCATAATTTACCCCCAATGCTGCGTTATCTGTTGTCAGTCATGACAGATGGAGACTGATGCAACACACACAAACTGAGTTAATATTACTTATCTCTGTTCTTATGATTTTAATTCTCTTTTGTATAGGTGATGGAGCGTGGGCAGAAATTGGTTTTAACCCAAGGAGAATGGGAAGTGACTAACATTGTTGGATATAACAATGAAACTCAAGATTTGTGAGTATATTAAATCATGTTTATTCCATGAGAAAAAAGAGTTGGAGAATGAATCAAATGAAACATTATAGCAAATATACAAAGAGTTCAGTTACTTGAATAATACTGAGTAAGAAAGTGTTTACTGCACAAATAATCATTTTTCTCACCCTACTCTCTTGAATTTATAAATCACAGAACTGTTATATCTTGAAAATATTTGATACTGTCACAAATATTTTTTTTAATGAATTTCATTTTTTTGTTTTTCAGGTATTTTATTGGAACAGGAGGTGACTCACGTAAACGACATCTTTACAGGTCAGTACAAATACATAATTTACATTCTCTCTTTATATAAGTAATACAAAATCTATTCAGAAACATATTGATCTATTCTGAATATATCAGAAAACAGTCGCCAGGCCTTGATGTTTCTTGCAGCTTATCATATACATAGGCAGACACTCTCCCATTAGGTTACTCAGTCAACAGTAAGATACAATTGAATGAACTTGTGACCATCACATTCACAATGGCTTAGGAAGTAGATTCACCATATCTTGTGCAGGGATTTATTTTTTTAATTCATTATTTTATTTTTATTTATTTATTTTGTAAAATATCATATTACCAAAGTTTGTCAGTACCCATTACAGTCCAGATTTAACTTACTTATGATTCCTACCTCTTCTCAAAGCTAAGATCCTCATTGAAATGCTATGGATGAGATTAAGAAGAATGCAGTAGGGCAGATGATGGGGATCCAAAAAGAAAACTTTGCAAACAGTTTTTAAAAGTGGAAGAGATACTGGAATAAGTGTGTTAAGTCCCAAGAGGCAAAATTTAAAGGGATTAATGCACCACCGCCCTAGGTAGGCTATATTGTCATTAAAACCTTTAGCAATCTGTAAGTGACTATTTTCACCAAGCAAGATGTTAGTCCTGCCAATCCAAGTTGAATTTGAATTTCTTGGTTGTGTTGTCATATCCTTCTATGGAAACACCTAAAAACAATCTTGACTGAAATTAAGAGCCAGGCTATTGCAATTTCAAATATATAGAACTAATATATAAAACATTATATTTTGAGGGGATTCCATATACAGTAAAAGCGGAAGTAATATTTGTAAATGATGCAGAGTGCTAAATGTTAATATTAAATGACTGGTCACTTTCTAAACAGACTTTGTTTGCATGTATACATGTGATAGTGTGCATATTTATGTTCATTTACTATGTATTTTTAAAGTATGGGACAGAAGATTCTTTAGAATGTATGTAACCAAGCAGTAGGTAAAGAAATATTCAGACCCTCATCATAAAGTGGGTGTATCATCGGGGGTGAAAGTAGTAATGTAAGGTTTCATAATAATCATCAGCATATTAAACAGATTCACACAGTCTAATTTTAGTCTTAGTTTCTTGTCTTCCCTATTACTAGGGAAAGGCATGAGTCTAATTATCCCTGGACCATCCCATCACTGGATATCTTAACAAAGATATCCAGTTTTCATGCTTTTCCTACCATCTGTTACAATGGTTGAAGAAGAAAAGAGTGAGTACATGGATAAACCATTCTCCCATAGCTACCTTCCCTTCTCCAGCCATAATAGCAAGAAGTTGTTATACTTACTGTCAACTTTAGCACACAAAAGTATACCATAGAAGTTTCTACAGCATTGTTAAGTAATTTTAAGTGCATTATGACACACTACACATCACAACCCAAATAACAAAACATTAGAATTTTTTTTTTTTTTTTTTTTTTTTTTTTTTTTTTTTGAAGGCATCATGGTCATGATGGTCTTATTCTGTCAGAAATGTTTACAATAATTCCTGGCCACTGACAATCCTTTTCTTCCTAATTTACAATGTATTTTCTTTTATGTGTTATGTTCCTTTATGATGTAGGTGATCATGGTTCTCCACAACTTCCTATTCCATCTATCATATTCTCAGCATCTATCTGTAAAACCACATTTCTCTCTATAAAATAAGAACAACAATTTTTTTAAATATATTTTAGGTCTTTTTTTTTTTTTTTTTTTTTTTCTATAAAACTAGAAATATTTAGTTTTCTCATGCCAAAAAAATACTAAACTGAAGTAAGGGGACAGGTTGAGTAACAGTAACTTTAATTTTGGGCAAGTGATAAGAAAAACTGACACCTTTCTTATGTATATTTTAATGCTACATCCCTTCAAGACAGCTGATCCTGTCTCTCCACAGCTTATCTGCAAATTGATTTCCTGGGAAAGATAGTGGTGTGGTTTTTCATTGCCTTTTCTACACTTTAGAATTCATGTTTTTGTTTTGTTTTTTTCACTTAGACTGGTTGCCACTCAAGGCTAAAGAGCCCAGTTTTCCTTGATATTTAACCCATAGCTGCTGGGAAGAAGAGATGCTTTTCCTGGGGGTTATTTGTGTGAAAATGAATGCAACAGACTAGCCCAGAATTTAAACTCAACTTGCCAGTTTCACTACCTGTGCTGGTATCTGTTATATAACCTAACACATCCTATTTCTTGTGGACACAAAGTTCAAATGCAGTCAGCACTAAAGTGAAATTGTGATTATTGTTTCATGTCTTCCCTACAATCAAAATTTACTGTCATTAGAGTGAATGAAAGTCTTTAATAAATTCTAGTCTTATATAAACAATTCATACTTTAATAAAAGCCAGTTGTCACTACAATTTATATGTGCCTTACCAAAACTCATTTGCAGTTCCCAACATTATCAGATTGTCACTGACATAAGAATCTGTATGGATACTAGTCTGAGTGATGTGATTATTTTTCAGTCTGTTTTCCTTTATAACCCAAAACAATCATGTAAATTCTAGAACACAAACCAATTTTGTTGCAATTTTAAATCATAATTTATTTCTTTTGACTTTCTCACAGAATCAGTGTGAAGGATGATTCTAAAGTGAAATATCCACACTATTGTCTGACATGCTCCGCTGAATATGAAAATTGCCAGTATGCTGATGCTCTTTTTAGTCCAACTGGAAAATTCTACATTTTGAAATGCTTGGGACCAGGAGTGCCAACTTACAGTCTCTACTCTTCAGACCATAATAAATGTAATTTTCTTTTCCTTTACATGTATTTCTAACATATTGCTGATTTCTTTTAACAATAAAAAATGTTTGTTAAAAAAAATCAATACCTTTATATATAAAACAGACTGTTGCCTCTGGGTGTTGACTTTAATGTCCACTTATATGCACATGTGTATTTGTGCACATGCACCTGTCTGTGCATATGTGTAGGATGTCATGATTATTTGTCCTTTTTGTCATGTTTTTTTTTGGTTTTTTTATTCTCACTCCTTAGCTTTTTCCTTTTTTCTTTCAATTGTTGTCATTTGTTGATATTTAGTTTCTGTTTTTTTTTTTTTTTTTTTTTCTCAACATGTCATTTATATATACAGGATGTATCAAAAATACTTTTACAATCTTTTGGGGTGAGTTCCTGACACTGAAACAATGTAAAATGTCCATAAAAACATATGTCCAAAAGGCCATCATTGTATCTCAAAACAGCAACTTGTGACAAATTTTCAAAATGTCCTCTATTTACTTCTACACCCACATGAACCTGTCAGATCATTGACTGGCCGACCCTTTCAAATCCTCCTTCATGATGTTGAATGGTTTCACAGATCCCCATGACATGTTGATGAAGTGTTTCTGCATTATTAATGTCTGCTTCATAAATTAATTGTTTTAAGTGGCCCCCACAGATAAAAATCTAAAGAATTATGGTTGGATGAATGTACAAGCTATGGAACCAGTCCTCTCCTATCTATCCATCTTTCATGGTAGACATCAGCCAGTGCATCGCAAACAATGTGACTAAAATGTGCTGAAGCCCCATCATGCATGAACCACATGCATCTTTGTATTATCAGGGCTGTAAATATGTTCAAAATAAAGTCCCTGTAGACATCTCCTGTAAGACATGCTGGGAGAACATATGGACCTACCAGACATTCACCTACAATTACAGCCCACATATTAATCAAAAACTGATGCTTGTATCCATTCTGATCCACCCACAAATGTTGGTTGTGTAAATTTGTTATTCCATCTCTTCCAAGTGTTGCCTCATCTATAAACAAAACTGAAGAGACAAACAATGGATCAGCAGTTTGTGCAATAAACCATCAGCAAAAGTTCTCCCATGGTGAGTTATCAGTGGGCAAAAGACTCCACACATGTTGCAAATGATATGGATTCAGGAGCTGCTGTTGAAGTACCCTTTATGTGGTACCATGAGATGTATGACATGCTAAGGCCACTTGACATGTGCTGATACCTGGATCATCTTCAATAGTTAGTAGAATGTGTTCTTCATGGTCAGGCATATGAGCGGATGTTGGGCTTTCTCAATCTATAGTTTGTGGTGCCACGGATCCTGTTGAAGCAATGCAACAATAAGCAGCAGCAAAGGTTGGATGACTTGGCTGCCTTTGGTCTGGAAATGCAATCTGATATAGATGCACTGCCTCACGTCCATTACCATTTGCTTGGCCATATGTAAAAATCATATCTGCTTGCTCACAATATGAACATCCTGTTAAACAGAACACTTCTCAGTAAACTCACTACTACATACATTAAATATTGAAGACAGACTAGCCACAAATGTACACGAATGACAAATGTAATGTAGTCTACATGGCAACACAGTGCCATCTACCTTAAACTTTCTCTAGACTTAATAACTCAAAAACAAAGGATTTGTGGACATATGTTTATATGGACTTTTGTCTTTGTTTTGGTGTGAGTGACCTGCCCCAAAGCTTGTAAAAGTATTTTTGATACACCCTGTGTAGGAAATTTTTAAAAGATTTGAATGATAACTTAAAACTGAATGAAGAAATTTTCCCAAGTTTGAATTTTGGTAGAAAATTGAATATTCTTCCATGTTGCTAAAGTATATTTTACAATATGTGATAAGGTAAAAAAACAATTCTTAAATATTCTATGTCTTTAGTCTGATTTTATTTACAAAGTAAAACTATGTTTTTTGAATTTTCTTTCTTTTAGTGATCATGACCTTGGAGAATAACACTGCATTCACTGAACGTCTTAAGATGAAAGCTCTACCTAAGAAACGATATATGAAGCTGAAGATAGAAGGAAAAAATGGAAATTATGGTTTGTAACATTAAAATCTTATATTGTTTCCTCAATCTTACTTGAAACTAAGTGGAAGAGAATTTTACATCACACATAAATTCCTTTTTTATTGATTATTATTTTTGTTATCTTCAACTCTAAAGCAAAAAGACATAAGGATTTTCTCAAGTTGAAGAAAAATTTGAAAATTAAGAAATCACTTTGTTAATAATATTAATAATTCTGCATTTACAATATTTGTATCAGTATCATTTGTTTGTTTTTTCTTTATATATCAATACTGACCAAACTAAACTACAGATTTTACTGAAATTAGCACTTACAATAGATATATCAAGAAGTTTAAAAGCTAGTGATGAAAAAGGCATTTATTTTAAACAACAAATATTTTTTTAAAAATACTTCCTTGTCACTATACATAATTCAGTAGTGATATTAATCACACTGATTAAACATTAGAGTCCAAAATACAAGAGTAGGTTGGAAAATTAATTTAAAATTCATTTGTTTTTTGAACAAAAAAGGAGTGAGAGGAGGTTGAAATAAGCAGACTGGATGTGGAAAAACAGTGGAAAATAAAATAAATGGTAGGTGAGGGTCTGGAATGACAAAGGATAAGTTGGGAAAAAATCAAAATTTAAATAACCATGTAGTCCCATCTATTCCAGACAAGACAGTATACAGTTTAAATTTCAGCTCCAAATTGAGTTAATGTTAGGATACATACTTATTGACCCACTCTCATGCACAGACTGCAATGAAACCATTCATTGCAAATAAAAAAAATAAAATTTGATGCAATATGCTGTGTATGAAATCTTCAGTCAGTTAATGATTAAACATTTCTGCTTCACTAATTTGACTCAGTCATTTATTGCTCTTACCAAGCATGATTCAGTCAGAAGTGGCAACCATAAATTACATTAACTAAAGATGTCAGTGATTTTAACAATTAAAGTTAGAACAAACTAATTTGACAGGATCTTCTGAGCTTCATACTAATTGTCCATTAATTTCTGTTATTTTTATCTTGCTGTTGATATCGCAGTCTTGGAAGACCATTGATTTTTTTCATGTTCAGACTCTCTTGCAGTGTCTCATGTGTGAGAAGCAGACAAGGCCACAGATGTTGCATGTACAAGCCTGTCCCAATGATGTTTATAATATGGTACAGTAGTTCACCACTATTAGGCAAACCAGTTTACTATGGTACCTGGTGTACCACAGGTGGATGGTGAACAGCAAGATTTTACACTTATACAATCAATATCGCTCACTTTTTCAAAAATTCCACCTTATTTTACCAATTTCTGGGCCACCTTCTTCACGATAGACAGAACAAACAGTGATCATCACATGGGCCCTAATTTGTTTTAATAATTAGGCCCCTTTTTCACATGTTTTACCTTGATTTTGATGATCAAACAGCCCAAATTTTGCAAAACTTTAACACCTCACCCATTTCACACCTAATCCAATTGTATTGGTAATAATTACGCATGATTACTTTATATTTCCATTTTGCGCACGATCAAAGAGTTCCTATAATATTGGACTAATTAACAGGAATTCAATCACTGCAATCAGATACCACGGATGGTGTATAAATAGGAGTACTTTTCTCTGGTTGATCATGTTTTCAATTTGACTGTCTAACAGTAGACATGAAGAATGTCTCATAAATAAATATAAATAGCACGTAGTAATTAGGGGTCGCAATCAGAAATTCCCAGGAATAAATTTCCCGAATAGTTATATTTATGTGTAAATTTACATGCTTAATTCGAAAATAGCAAAGAAATTTTGATAAAATCTACATTTTTGGACAATAAAAGTTTGGATTCATTTGTGTCATGGCAGCCATTACTGGCATTGTTTGCATATATCTACTGCAGAATAGACATTCACCTGTCTCGATTATTGCACACACACTGATGCAAACAAAGCCAATAATAGCTGCTGTGCCATAGCTGGCAACAACATGAATCCGAACTTTTATTGTCGAAATAATAAACGTTAAATTTTATCAAAATTTCTTTGTTATTTTTAAATTAGGCATGTAAATTTAGAATAAAAAATAACTGTTTAGGAAATTTTTATTAGATACTTATGGAATCATTGGCATAAATTAGTATAATTTTGGGGGGTTCTTTCAAACCATTATCTACAGTATATATCACGAAATAAGACAAATAGGACCCCAAAATCAGGTAGGTTTTCAACTTCCTATTATTATCCATCTCTTGACAACATTTTATATACATAATCAACAATTCTAATATACTCTGTTTTCATTCTTTTCTCTAGAAACTTGGGCAAAACTCTTGTTACCTCCTATTTTGAAAGATGAAGAAATTCTTACTTACCCACTTCTTTTGGAAGTGTAAGTATTTACCATTTTCTTTTATTATTAAAAAATATCATGTACAGAATGCTATATGTTAGAAAATAATTAACTTATATGCAAAATTGTTTATTAAAAAAAACAAACCTGAATTTCTAAATGTGCTGGGAATATATCTGATAGTTATGATCATGATTTTGTATTAGTAATCCAAATATTACTAAATAGGTAAATCAAATTGATTTAAACAATTATAAATGGAAAGCCAAGTTTTAAAGCAGTTCATTAACACAATTTAAAAATTGCTTAGTAATCAAAAGAAAATTTTCTTAATGCAATTTGTCTTTAGACTATTTTCACTAATATTTTTTATACATCTTCAATCATAGTTTTTTAATGAAAAATAACAAATCATTTTTCAAATGGATTTTTGTTTTTTAATCATTTCACCCCAAGTAAGGCAATAAAGTTATTAAGACATAAGGGTGTGAAAGAATATATGAGAAAAAACATTATTGACGAGAAAGAACAATAAATTAATAGAAATTAAGGTTTGGTTTGTTTTGTTAAATGGATTATTTAATACCAACAAGATTTTTATTGTTGGTAATATTTTTTTTTCAAAAATGTATTGCTGATATTTATTTTTTTTTTTCAAAAATGCATTGCTGCTAATATTTTTTTCAAAAATGTATTGTTGGTAATATTTTTTTTGTTTTTCCAAAAATGTATTGCTGGTAAAAAATTTTCCAAAAAAGTATTGCTGGTATTAAAACCTATTTTTATACTTTTATAGTATTTTGACCCCTTTTGGGGGGGTTAACTATTTGCCCATAGCTGGGACCCTGATAGGTGCTACCACCCCAGGTCAGGGTGGGCCTAGGAACACCATCAATTAAGAGGTGGTTCCACACTCCTCAAAACCTTCTGATCAAAGGCCTTTCTGTCAGATATAGTTTATCATCATACCCAGGACAGAAAGAAATTAAGAAGACTGAAGATAACAATTGACATTGTTTTTAAAATTTTTGAAAATCTAAGTTAACTGGAAAGCAAGAAGCAGGAAGAGATTTCCACAAACAAGAAGTGAGAGAGAAGAAACTGTTAGCATAGAATTTATGCTTTATTTATTTTTTTGCTATCATTTCACCCCAAGCAAGACAATAATGCCACTAAAGCACAAGGGGTTACAGGGAGTGAAAGAGAACAAGATGACTGAGAATGGGGAGGATTGAGGAAAGGACAAAAAAAAGAAGACAGAAGATGGCAATTTATGTTGCATTTAGATTTTTGAAGATTGTAGTTATCAGGGAAGCAAAAAAAATCAGAAGGGCGTTCCACAGGTTGGAAGTGTGAGAAAAGAAATTGTTAGAATAGAAGTGGCAGTTACATCTAACCAATTCAGAAGTAAAATAGTGAGACCTAGTTGCCAATACAGTGCGCACTTAAATTCATGTAGTCGGGGTACCAAGGGAAAAATGCTCATCCCAGCTGTTGCCATTTCAATTATAAAATGATGAGACCTTTTCCTGTCAATCTAGAACTGTGCTTAAATTCATAAAGTCTAGGTACCATAGAGGAAAGTTCATCAGAACAATTACCATAAAAACATTTATAGAAAAGATACAGTTATGGCAATGGGAAAGTGACTGAAGCAAAGATGCACAGTCAGGACTAATAACATTGCACATTCTCCTTTAAATTATCAAGAATTTTTAAATATATAGAAGAAACAGATGGCAGCAATATTCAATGCATGGATGAATGGTAAACTTGTAAATGTGTAAGATAGGTTCTAGAGAGAAAAAATTGTCTAACACAACACAGTGAACCCACTTTCCTAGCAGCTAACTTAGCAATTGATTCAATATAATCTTTTCACTTCATGTCAACAGAAATCATTAACCCAAGAAGGTGCAATGAGTCACTGGCCTAGAGATTAGCATCAACCATACTGATAAAAAGCAAAAAGGATTCTCTCACACAATTAAAAGAAAACAGTTTCGTTTTAGAGGCATTCAAATTAACAATCCATTTCTTGCTTCAGTTAACAGATTGTAGGTCATTTTTTAAAATCAGCTACCAATTTGACCTTATTGAACTGATCAGATTTCCTATTAAGACAGGAGTAAATAGTTGCATCATCAGCATAGATACCAAAATAAGAACTGATGTTTTCATGAAGGTCATTGATGAAAATTAAGAACAACATAGGTCCAAGAATAGGTGGATATCTGCATTAATGCAAAATGATCTAGAAGAGTAGCCATTTAAGCCAACTTTCATTTTGCAATTTGATAAAAGATTGAATCAGTTCAAAAGTTAATCTAGAAATACCATAACTTTTCAACTTGTGAAGAAGACCAACATTCTAAACCATGTCAAATGCCTTTGAGATATCTAAAGTAACAGTTCAAGCTTTACTCTTCTTATTTAAAGCCTGATAGACTCTTTCAGCAATAATCATTGATACAAGAAGTTGACTCAGAGAAACGAAAGTCATATTGCTTATATGAAAGAAGACCCTGCAAGGTGAGATGCTTAACCAATTCAGTGTTGATTAGAGCCTTTAGTACTTTGCCAAAAAGAGGTATAATGCTAATAGGCCAGTAGTTAGAAGGTGATGATGATTTGTCTGGGTTCTTAAAGGCAGGAAATAAAGATTATGTTCAATTATGAATGTATCAACAAACATAATGGAAATTGTATGAAAAAGAAGTATACTTAGATACATAGACAAGGAATTGGACTTTGAGTCTGTGACTAATAATTTGTATTTCATTGAAAAGGCTACAATATAGATATTAAAATATTAATGGTTAAATGGAGTTGGAATGTGAATGCAGCAGTGAGTAGAGAAAAACAAGACGTTTGTGAAAAGACTTAAAAGAGCAAATCTACATTGTGAAAAGTTGGATTTTTTTTAATTAGGTACCATTCTGAGAATAAATTATAACAAAGGAAACTGAACATTGTGACCACTCAGCCATGAGACCCCAGGTTCAAATCTCAACACAGTCAATTTGTCTGGAAGGTGACTTCTTGATGTTATCAGCCTGGGGAGGAAATCATAGCAAGCAACACTTTTGGAAAGTTCCTGAAAATCATAACACAGGTTGATCCAAACTTTCTTAATGAGATTGGTGGGTAGACAGAAATATTTGAGAGTCATCGATGGCTGTGCTAGCATTAAGTCACAAGTCATCGTGACCGAGGCTTTGAGAGTACTGGTCTTGTTCAAACTGTTGATCTTGCCAGATAATGCGCTCTCTAGCAGAAACTGTAACTAAGGTTCATTCAGTTGCAGTAAAAACCACAATTAGGTGGGTGTTAAACAAACGTGCATGTGCCTGATCAGGCATCTGCAACAGGGATCAGTTAACCAGGTATACTTGGATATGAGTGACCAGCCATTACTATAATATAAAGGATAGCAAAGATATTTTTTTGTTTGAATTTTTGACATGAGGAATTATTATTAGATGTCTTGCTAATCAGACCAGCATGCTCATCTTAATTATTATGCTTATGTTTCAACCTTTGTACTGTCCAGCCATCTTCAGGTGTCTGTCTTGGAATTTCAAACCAAACACTTTATTCAATCCATAGATGTAAAATGTTCTCATTCTACTTTCCATGCTTTGGGATATTTCATATTAGTTCATGCTCACTAGTTTCATCTTTGTGTCTTTGTTAGTTTCTTCTGCTGAACCAAAGTATGTGACCTTTCAGCCTTAACTGACCCAGGGATTGAACTCTCAACTACTTGACATATGGATTAAAGTGTTGATTAAAACATATCAGGTTTTCTGGCAGTTGTAAAAACATATTGGGTTCCTTGGCAGCTGAATAATATATCTGATTCCCTATTAGTTCCATGTGTAGGTTTAAAAAAATGATTCTTTAAAAGCTGAGATAAAGCATTCTAGTAACAATCTTGGTCCAATGTTAAATTTAGGTGTGACGTGATTGCTCTAATCAAAAACTAACTGTAATCTGAAGTAGCTATGGTACCTAGACTTTTTGAATTTAAGTGCAGTATTAGATTGGTGTCAAGATCTCATCAATTTAGTTTAGCTAGCTAGATGTAACTGTAAATTCTATGCTAACAGTTTTATTTATCGCACTTCTCACTTGTAGAACTCCTGTCCAGCTGCATGCTTTCCAGCCAACTTTAATCAGCAAAAATTTAACTGCAATATCAATTGCTATCTACTGTTCTCCTGATTACTCTTCCCGCTCATTATTAATGTTTCTGTTCCTAATTTTTCCACCCACTGTAAATCCTTGTTAGAGTAAATTAAACAAAAGTTATTGAAAATATAATGAATTTTCAAATCTGATAACTCTATTCCAAGTGATTGCTCAACAGGTAGAGAAATTAACTTGCTATAAAAGCCATAAAATATAACATGTGCAAAAGTATCTAGGGTGATTTTTTTTTATCTGTGTTTTGTAAACTAGATACTGTATACACAATTGAAACTGTTTTTTCACATACATTAAATATGTCATTTATTCCTATTCATGTGTCAAGGTCAATTCAAACATTCTAATCGTTAGCCATTTTCAGTTGTCATATTCAGTAACTGTTGAAAATTTCAAACTACTGTTCATGCTAAGGGAGATCACTCGTATCATATTAACTCATATATCGAGTTAATTCATTTTGCTTTTGCTTTTTCACAAACCAAAGCAAATGACTTTCACTGATTAAGCCAAAAATTTAACAATTAACCCTTTTCAATTGGGTTTCGCTCAAAATTTCATGGTTCCTGAATATAACAGCTCAAAAAAACTGAAAAGTAAATAACTGAATCACATGCTTATAACAATTAAGTGTATTACATTAATCCAAAAAGATCAATATATATTTTCAAGATTCTTATAACACACAGCAAATATGACAGCAGAAATCTCAGAGTATATTGATAGTTTTAATAAAACAGTAATTTACATATTTTCTTTTTTTTTAGTGTTATTAAAATAACAAAGATATGAGCATTATAACCTATAATTATCTCTCATTTTCAATAATTTTACAAAAGATTATTTATTATGAAAAGTATTTTTCTCTCGACATTCTTCTCTACTCATTATTTTAATGCTAACATTTTATAACATTTTGACCATAAGAAAAATAATGGTTGTAGCAATTAAAATCCAATGTTTGATCTTATTTATAATACTGTTTTTCCAGGATAATCGTTGTTAGAACATTTGTGACTGCAAAATTGTATTTGGGGAGAATGTAGAAATTTATTTATTATATGCCCTGCATGTAGATAGATAGATGCAAACAAGGATATTAATATGTAAATTATTTGGGATATTTTAAAACCGTTTTTCTTGGATTGATCTTAATCTTTATTTTCATCTACTTTTCTAGGTATGGTGGACCTGGAAGCCAGAAAGTGACTGAACAGTTTGAAATTGGTTGGGCTACGTACCTCACCAGTTCATTGAATATCATTCATGCTTCAGTTGATGGACGAGGTTCCAGTGGTAATGGGGATAGATTTATGCATGAACTATACAAATCATTTGGAACAGTTGAAGTAGAAGATCAAATCACTGCTGGCAGGTAAGCAATGAACATCTTTAACAATGCCTTATGGGTCACCCAGTAGTTATATCCTCTGACTTAAAATATTGTTTAACACTTGGTCAGTAATCATATCCATTGATTTAAAAATTTTGAAGACATTCACTAGTTTTCAATAAACACATATATTACAAAATAAAGAAAGTAAATCTTTTGTGCAATTCCTGTAAGTATTATTTATTACATGTTAAGAAATATTTTTCACTCTTAACTGAAGCAATCTATATCCCAATAAATAATAATTAAATATTTACTCTTGGGGGATCAAAGATTTAGCCAATATTTCTGTCTATATTTCTGAGATAAGGTATTGTAACTATTTACACTACTTACATTGTTCAAACTGTTGTCCTCATATTTGTTGATATTTACAATGTTTCAGCCGTTGTTTGCTCTAGCCTTCTTCAAATGATTGGAATTTTGATGGCTCAATGGATAAAAGCATTCGTTGAAGTAATCCAGTGATTTCACTCAAAAAGTTGTGAGTCCAATACCTTGACAAGTTGAGTTTACTAAAGGGAAATAACTAAAACTGAAATTGAGAGTTATAGCATGTGGAACTAGAACAATCTACACCAGTGGACAAAATAAAGGGTTTATTTCGAAATTTCAATCACCAGAAGAAGGCTGGAGAGTACAGTGACCAAAATGTTGTGAATATAGTAACAAAGATGAGGGCAACAGTCCAAACAATATAAATATGGCAAATTAGCAAATATTGTTGACAAGATGGCTTTGAGCAGATGGTTAAACTTTCATTTGAAAATTCCTTTTGAAAGACTGTAGAAAAAACAAACAGCAGTAAATCTGAATAACCACATATCTGCTGATATGTAGCAAATCTGAGTAGTGCCTCAACAACTGTCAACACCCTCTGACCCACTTCCCAACACTGAAAAAAAACCCTTGCCAAATACCTGTAGCCAAAACCCCGAGATCAACTGTGATTCATTGACAGTCCAAGCATCACCATTCTCATGCAAATTTAGCAGTGATTTCATCTATGCTAAGCTTGGAGCACTTTGACGTAGTGTAATGGTTAGCAAACTTGTCTCACTAGATCAATTATGACTGAACAGTGTGCTCCACACTTTCGAACGTGTGTTACATCCAAGCTATGCTTAGAAAATCAAAATGGTATAATCGTTAGTAAGCTTGTCTTGCTATAAAAGTTATGACTAATTAGTGATTTTGATCCTCACTGGGTTCCCCATACTTTCATACTTGTGTCACATCTAAGCTACACTTAGAAAATCACCATCTATGCTGAGCTCTAAAAGCCAGTCATTCGAAAGAACACAACTCTTAGCTACATTGACACACTTTAGTCAAGGTTTTATTCATGTCAGTCTGGTTCTCTTCTACAATAACATAAATGCAGAAATTATCAACACCTTAAATTGTACAAACTAAATAAACACTATTATCATTAAAAATTGAGCAAATCAAGTTAACGTCCAGACTGCCATGACTGTAATAACAAGGGACATAATCGTATTTTTTGTTTACAAGAGTTACCTTTCTTGATAATTTATAGTTTTTTTTTTTTTGTAAATAAATAAAAATTATTCCATTTCAAAAATAATGAAAAAGTTTCTGAATTAACTTCCAAATTTACTAAATTGTTGCTCATCCCGTGTTCCATCATAACACAAGATGTTAATAAAAATTTACTGGAGATATTGTGCAAAAAACTGAGAAATAAACAGACAGAGGAACATGAATGAAAATATAACCTCTGTACATTAAAGGTAAAAATAATGTTGTAAAATCGTTTTTAATTTAAATTTACTAAATCATTTTTAAGGCTAAGAAACATTGTAATCTCCTAAATTAATATTTAACAATTTCTATTAATTGTCTACTTTTTCTTTTCTTTTCATTACTTTTTCTCTTTTACAGAGAATTTGAAAAATTACATTATGTTGAATCAAGCAAAATTGCTGTTTGGGGCTGGGTAAGTATATCCATTATTACATAAATAAAAAGACAAAACGACCTCTGGCAGTTAAAGGGAACCTATACAAGCCTTAAACACCTTATGCTATTCATATTGCTAGTATGTATGGATACAAATACATACACATCTGTGACCATGTAGAATTGTAATTATTATTAGAGTTTAATGATTTCAATATAGATTTACTTGGACAACATTTATCACAGATCTACATATTAAGAGCCATTGATTCAGCTTAGAACTGAACCATTATGCTGCCCACACATGATATAGGATTTTTTATTTGATAAAAACCCTTTGTAAAAAATAATTCAAACAAATGTTTGAGGTAATATTTAATTTATATGGGCACACGAAGACAGACCACATGAGCTGAGTTTAAAAAACAGACAATAAATTTATTGTTAATGTAGAAAAATGAATGAATTACACAAATTAATAGTTTTCAAAGAATTGGTATAATTGGTAGAATTCAAAGCAAAGTTTGTGGTAACAGCAAAGAATATAACAAACACACCATCCGGAGACTTTTCCTTGACGTGGGAGCGACTTTGATGTTCCTTTTTATTCTCATCTTGTGGTTGTCAAATTTCTTCTGTATTGTTTTTCTTTCTGTTCATCAAATCCAAAAATTAACTCCAAGGCCCACTTTAAATACCCTAAAGGTAGACTCCAGTGTATTACTTCTCAGAATTTGGAGAGAAATCCTTTTATTATTATAGATGAAAAACAAACACAGCTGTTTTCTCACAAATCAAAATTATATATATATATATATATATATATATTCGAAATTTAAAAATTACACAAGAGTCCAATGCAACATCTGCTTCCTCTCTGAAAGGCAGATGATACATACTCAAGCAGCTTCAATTTCCTATAATGATTTGATAATACTGAAGGCTTGAGTAGAAACAGTTACACTTTTCAGAAAAACTGATAGTAGAGAAATGGGGCACAGTGTACCACAAAATCTCTAAACATGCTTCCTCCTGTTTTATTTTTATGGAGTTTAACTCCCTCTGATAATATCAAAGCCTGATGACAGTATATGTACTTAAACATGATGCTGCTCAGAAAGATATGGTTTGAATTTAGATTTTTTCCTTTCCTTAGACAGGCCCTCTCCTCAAGGCAAGAGAGGCCAGTCTGCCCTGCTATGCTGGAGTCATGCCTTTTCCAAGGGTATTACAATAGAACAATAGAATCCACTGAAATTTGAGTTAGCTCAAAAAACAACATTTTCTACATTGATAACCTTAACACTACCTGCAAATATATTAAAAGCTATACATACACACATGCATACACATAATATTAGTATATACTACAGTCTCACAAAAGGTACTATTCACAAAAAGTAGTAGCAAAGGTTTATACTAACTTCAGTTTGTGCTTGCAATTCAAATTCTTTTGGACAGCACCTCATTGGATCCCATGCAGAGTGATGATTATCAAGTGGGTCTTGCAAAAAATTATTGGATAATTTGATCCTTATAAATTAAACATAGTGCCAGATTAAGCTTAACTGATTATCTCAAACAACTCTCCCATAATTACTATCCAGGTAATAATAGCTGTAAAAAAAAATGTCACACCCATTAGCAACTTGGACAGTGACCAACTATCTATTTATATATATATATATATATATATACACACACACACACACAAACTGGAATCAAATATGGGTTAAAATCCGACACATTAAATTTATAAACATTCTGTTCTTGGACAATTATATTTATTTATTTCTATTTATTTTTATTTGTTTTCTTTTAATTATTTTTATATAATTCTTTTATTTATTTCTGTATTTATTTATTTATTTAATTAATTATTTTAATTATTATTTGTTTTTATGAATTTTTAATTCATATATTTATTCTATTTAAATATTTTCTTAATTGTTTTTTTTTGCTGTTATAATAATGTTTTTAATTTAAATTATAAAAAGTTTTAACTATTTAATGTTTATTATTTTAGGTATGGTATATTTGATCTCTCAAAATAAATTATTTATTAATTTACAATTTTTTTAATCTGGTTTTATATAACAAAGTATGTATTTATTAATATATCTACCATTATCTAGAATATTTATTTTTTTATTTAACAATTTTGTTTTTGTTTTTTAAACTACTTATTTATAATTTTTTCTTGTAAACATAAATATATACAATATCTGATTGAGAAAAATAGAAACAATACATGTTTGTATGTTGCAATTTCTTTTTCAGTCCTATGGCGGTTTTGTAACCAGTTCAATCTTGGGCCATGGGACAGATATTTTTAAATGTGGAATTGCTGTTGCTCCGGTCACTGACTGGAGATATTACGGTAAGTAAAGAAATTAATTCAGTACTTATATAAATGGTTTAGCTACAAATATAATACAACTTAAACTTAATGTTGGTCTGGCCTAATGTAAAAAAAAAACATGTATGCCAAGCTTATTTTATCATTTATTTCTAATATCTGTAACATTGTGTCTCAATACTTGTCTCCCTTGTACTGGGCACACAAATTAGCATTGTCCTTGTAATGATTCTGATGGGCTGTTTCAAGATGTTTACAAATCTGGGAGATGAAGAGACTGATTCCATGCTAAACCAAAGTACAACAATAATAATGGAAAAATATGTCTAAAGTAAACTTAATGATAATAAGGACTTAACAAAATATTCCATCATTTTTTGGCAGTATATGTAAACTAGTATTAATAAGATTTTATTGGACATCAAGTGGTAGACTGGTTGTCTTTTATTAAGTGTTAAACTGATCCCAGTAGAATTAATACATATTAAATATAATTAGAAAAATATATTTAAAGACTTGTATGGAAACCTTCTAATAATAGTAAGTACTTAACAAAATATGCCATCATTTTTTTGACAGTAATGTATAGTACTGACTATACCAAAATGTTGGCATAAAGATATTAGTTATTTATTGCTTATATTGCAATCAGCACTGATAATAAATCTTCTACTTTATTTGTCAGAATCAAAATGATTTCCATGTAAATCAATTCAACAAAATTAGTGTTAATGTGTTTTTTGTTAATATTAACACCTGTTTGTAAGTTCCTTGTTAATACTCTATTTTCTTAAAATTTTTAATTCAAAGTTAAAAATTTCAGCCAAAGAGAAATTATTGCTATTAATTTTCTTATTTCTTTCTTTCACAGTTTCAGAGATACTGTCATGCTGATATTTTAAGTATCACTAATATTATCATTATTAGCTTTATCATCTTTCACAAAGATTGATAAGTCCAATTTAAATTTATTCACTATGACCAATGCAATACACATGTTTTGACTATTATTGATATTTGAGGATAATCAAGACTTTTTAATAATATAGAATATTTTCTTACTAATTTATTTTTCTTTTCTTTTCTTTCAGACTCTGCTTATACTGAAAGGTATATGGGGTCCCCATATACAAATTTAGCTAGTTATAAGGTAAAGTACTCTAACACATATTAAGCAATTTACATTACAATATTTATTATATTTATATTAAACAGTTTTCATTACAAGAGTCAATTTAAAAGTTTTCAGCTCAACACACTTCCCAAAATCAGGTTTTCTGATATTTAATCATTTAAATATTGATTTTGGGATGTTGGTCAGGCTGATAACCTTTCACTACTCTTCTCATAAATCATGATTAAATAAACTTTTATAAATATACCTAAAATGCATACACTGGTACATCAATAAGTTCATAGTCTAATGTTGAAAAAAAGCATTTATTTTTCACAAGAAATATTTTATTTTTCTTCCTTCGTTGTCATTGCACTTAATACATTGGTCAATATTAATTACATTGATCAAACATTATATAGTTAATATTTCAGATCTAAATTCAGATAACTGTATCACTATACTCTTATGTAACCAAATTCACACTAATCATTTTATGTTTTTCTTTGGACTACTAATTTCTTTGCTTTTTTTTTTTTTTTTTTTTTTTTTTTTTTTGTTGTAAAATTTCAGCTGTGTAATGTCTGGCCTTCTTTAGATTTCTGTTGTGTTCCAAAATGTGTTTAATCCTACTTTGGGGAAGGGTATACACCCTGCCCCTCCAACACACCTACACATCATGTCCTTTTGCATTCCCATGTTCCTGTCTGCCACTGAACTCTATTCCTTGAGTTTCATATGCACCACATAATTTGTATAGTCCCAAGTCCATTGACTGCTCCCTCCTGATTAATGGTACCAATATACTACTAATGTTGATACTCAGTTTATTAAGCCACTGAATACAGTCTGTTACTGAACAACTCAATAAGCATTGACTTATTCCTTCAGTCTTTATTGACTACTGCTCCTCTCTATCATTTTGACCTTATTTGTGTGTGTGTGTGTGTGGCTCCCTCTGAGTCATAGCAGTAGATTCAACAATAGTCTGGAACATAATGGCAAAGACAAGGAAAATTTCATGCACATACTCTGTCTAAACAAAATTCAACCAAAAACAAAAACCAGTTATTTTCTTGATTTCGAATTAATAAAAAAAAAAGACTTAGTTCATTAGTTGAGTTGCAAAGAATTGTTGACTGGAATAATTCAATGAATGAAATACTTCAAAGTTACTTCCCTTGTATTTTGAAAAGCTGTATACAAAATTGGCAAATTAATCCTGTCCTTCTGGTATCAGTTTAAACATACTACTAAATAGGTAACAAGGTCTCTTCGTTTTACTGTTGAAATAGCTAGATGTAACCGTAAATTCTATTCTAATAGTTTCTTTTCTTACACTTCTCACCTGTGGAACTCTTTTCCGGTTTCTTGCTTTCCTGCTACCTAAATCTTCAAAAGTTTTAAATGCAATATCAATTGCCATCTGCCTTCCTAAATCTTGTTCTTTCATTGTCCTTTCTTCTTACTAAAGTCTCTTCATTCTCTTTTACTCTCAGTAATCCCTTGTGTCTTAGTGGTATTATCACCTTGCTTGGGGTGAAATGATTAAAAAAAAGTCTGCATTTCATTAACAGTAATCTGATAGTTTCTGAATGCTTAGAATTTAAAGTACAAATAAACATTATTATTATTATTATTATTTATATGCTATTAATACAAAGTATAATTTTAATTTCTTTTCTCTTTTTTTGTCTCTGTAGATCTCTAGAATATCTCCAATGGCACATAATTTCAGAAAATCAAGCTTTTTGCTAATTCATGGTACAGGAGATGGTGAGTTAATTTTATACTTTATTTTGACCAAGAAAGAATTCTCATTTATTCCTGTATTCACCTGCATAACATTTTAACTAACATTCTGTGTTATTCACAAGTTTTCTCCTCCCACTGCATTCTCTTTTAAAACTTATCAACTTGCAGACCTGTTATTAATTTCTGCTGTCATCATTGAACATGTAAACACTGACAAGTTCAAACACACTATTATTTGGTGATCTGAATCTTTTGCAGTATTAGGATAGACTTTTTTTTCATATGAATAAGACAACAAAGCAATTACTGGTTAGTTAGGGAGAAAATATACTAGCCTCTCACACTATCGTTATTGCTAGCATGTACATACATGTATGCACAGACATGCATAAGTTAAAATCCTTGACCAATATTTTAATATTTATTAATTTGCTTGAAGACATGAAGAGTTATAATTTTGGACAGAAAATGAAATGTTATATGAATGTAAATAGTAATGGTGAAATTAACTGTTTCCTTATAAGGAAACATTTGACATTCATTGACTGAACAGCTAATGTTACTTTGAGCTGACATTTTATAAAATCTTTTTCTTAAAACAGTTTTTCAGAAAATTACACTTCTCAAGTCCACTACATGTTATAGATCTTTCTAAAGTAGATTAGAAATAATAATTAAAAGCCAAAATTAATTCCCAAAATATTATATATATGGTGGAGGCACAGTGGAGTAATGGATAGCAGCTTGGATTGAGGAATCTGAGAACCAAGTTTGAATTCCAGTTAAGTTCATTACATTGACTTACATGCTAACACCTTTGGGAAAGGTATTAATCTAACTCTTCTCTCCCCAGCTATGGGTAAATAGCAAGACAGACTGGGTCCTATAACCATGGTTGGCAAACAGTCTAGGAGAAGGATAACTCTAAATTCAAAACCTGCAGAGGGTCGTTTAGGGACCGTGTGGCATACTGTATATCATGTACATCAGTTATCTGTAATTGGCTCTTCCAAAAAGTGTGGTTAGTCCTTCACCACTATAATCAAATGATATGTGCAGGTAATTTGGCTGTTGGTTCTAAGATTTGAACTGTTTGACCTTCATACATTGAAAACAACAAGAGAGTTCAGTATGTATATATAAAATAACAATGCATAGTAAAAACTAATATTATGGTAAAATGCATTCTTTTTCCTATAGTAAGAAATTGATATCAGTATTAGAATTTTATAGATAAGATATTACTTATAAAAATATTTAAAAATTTGCTTCAAGTTGTACCTTCAGATAATTGAATGGCACTAAAGATAAAAGAATAAAATTATATGTACCTAAAAAAAAAATAATTGTTAAAGAAGTGATTATAAGATTGAAAAATTAAATAAACATTGAAGTTATAAACTACATTTTCTTGTTTGATATTTGAATACTGTCCCAGTTATGGTTTAGATAACAAAGAATATTGGGCAACCAGTCTAAGAGAAGGACAATTCTGAATTCAAAACTGTGAAAGCAATGGGAAACCACTCCATCTTTCCCCAAAATAATCATGACAATATACACTTTATAGATATGAAAAAAAAATGAAACCATGAAGAGCTGTGATTCCTTATGTCATGAAGAAACATAGCATGTAAAGAAAAATATGTTACCCAGAATTTCTTTTATCTTACATATTTGTTTATATATTTTGAATCAAAATAAATTTTCATTTCTATTATTGAAAAGATTTAAAAATTATTTCCACTATATACTATAACTTAGCTGTTTTTGTTTTTTTCAGATAATGTCCACTTCCAAAATTCAGCCCAACTCATGAAAGCATTGACTGATGCGAATGTCTACTACAGATCCCAGGTATAAAACAACATTTTAAATTGTTTATTACATTAATTTTCTTACCTTTTATTTTTTCATATTCTTTTGAAATAATATGGATTTGCATTAGCCACATAAACATTTGTTCTTTTACTCAGTTGAATAAATCTCAAGAAAATACAGGAGATTTTATTATTGATAGTATTTACTATGAGTATTTATACTAATTTGTGGGGCACATGTAAATTCTAATGTGCATCATTGAAGGGGAGGTAACTGATGATTTATCAGTACAAAAATATTCTTCTTTGCAGTTTTATTACTACAGCTTTTATATTTTCATAAAACCATACATAACTGAATCATTTTAAAGTATGTTTCAACCTTGTCAAAAATGTAATATTCACCCTTATTTAATGTTGTTATTAAGTGATAATATTTGAATTATAATAAGAATTATGAATTGAAAGTGTAAGTTTTTGATAGTAGAATTTTAATGTGTATGTATATGTGTGTGTGTATAGGTATATATATATATATATATATATATATATATATGATAATGTACCACTCACTGTTGAACCTTTAAGTGCCCTGTTTCTACCAGAGTATGTAGGTCCCTTGTTGAGCTAAAAGCCACATTCATTCAGCACATCAGTAGATATTCTTGAAAAAGATATGTAGTCATGGCCATACTCAAATACAAGTTCAAATATATATATATATATATATATATATATATATATATATATATATATATATATATATATATATATATATATGCTGGGTGCGATGTATAAATTGTCATCTAAATTACACAAAAATGAAAATAACATTGACATCTTATTTTAACAAATATATTTACCAAAATTACACAAAAATATGTTGAAATGCTAAAGAGTAAATTTATTCAATAAAATCGACATTGGTTTTAACCATGCTCACCAGATGACTTCAGAACCTCCTCCAACTCTTCTGGACGGTCTCCTTGTTTAAGTTGGTCACTGCTGCTATCATCCTTCAGTTTTGTTGGTCTCTTGCTCAACTGTGCCCCACACTTAATAATCAGCGGGGTTGCAATCTGGGGAGTTAGGTGGCCAAATGTAAGGGATGATGTAGTCACAGAAATTGTCTGACACAGCTGTTTGAGGTTTCCTACAGACCCACTGAACTTAAATAAAGTCAATTCAGGTTTCCTATGGTAAAAATTTTCTTTCCCAAGTGAAAATCATCACAAAAATAGCAAAAGTCATTTTGTCACAGCTTATTTTCTCTCAAAATATGGGTTTTCATACTTTTTAGGGGTAAAATATTGAAAAAATGACTGTTTTATCATCACCTAAACGAATATCAAGGAAACTTTTGATCTGAACCCCATGAAACTAGGTATTTTCTGAAAGCAAAAGATATATTCTTTCATTTAAAAGTAAAATTAGCTGGTGTAAATGACTCAAAAATTTTTTCAGTGGGTAAAATGTGAAAAAATAGTGAAAATTTTGCATTTTTTTCTTGTTCTAAACAAATATTTCCCCCATTAATGGGAAATTAACCATTTTTTTTTTTTTTTTTTTTTGAAAATCAGAAAGCCTAGATCATAATCAAACTATTTCAGGCATAAAATTGAGAGTTTTGAAGGAAATCAACATTCCTAGGGGTTCAAAAAATGCGACAAAATCCATTGTTAATTTTCAATTATGACTGCCAAGGGTTAAAAAAATTGACACCTGGCCATGGAAATCTTTAGTAAAAGGCAAGAGATTTATCTGCAATTCCTAACCACCAGAAACCAAAAGTTTTTTTTTTTTCCTAAAAATAGTGATAAGGGAAAATAAACCTAATTGACTTTGACGTCTAGGTCAAAGGCCAGCCAGCCAGCCAGCTAGCAATAAACGGACGGCAAACCTTAGAACAAGTTGTAATAAAACCCACCACTCCCAGATAAAAGCAAAGGTGAATAAAAAAAGGGTTCACAATTACTAGGGCTTCATATAACCTATGTTTGAACAATGGCTTGATAAGTTTTGTTTTGTTTTTAACACCCCGTGACCCGGTGATGACAACAACACTTAGCAGACAACATTTTTTTTTTCGCCGCATATCTTTTGTATTTCCCATCGCCGGTCCATTTAGCCTTTCTTTTTATTCAATGATGTTCATGCCAAATGAAAGAGAAAGGAATGAATTTTGAATGATGTTATTTTGAAGCGAAAATGAATATTTTTCATTAAAAAAGGGATTTTTCTCAGAAAATTGTGCATAATTTCTTAATGCTAACCGCCGAGTGACATTTTCCACAGCCAAATCGAAGATTAATTACCAGTGAATAATTCCATGTGCAAAAAATAGCCGTCTGGATCCTATAAGGTCGCCCTAAAAGGTCCAGAAGTTTACTAATTGATCGAAAACCTGTTGCGCATAATTGTATTTTTTCACGGTCAGTTTCCATTATTTCATCTTGATATTATCATTTTCGGACAGCCAAGTCATCAAGGATTCAGGAAAACACTTTGACATAGGTTTTCTTTAAGAACTTTACATTCTATGAGGTGTTTAAAATGTTACTGACGAATGAGATTTTTTGCCGCATATTTCGTTTACGCGCCATGTTGGATTTTCCTATATGACAAAAACAAGGGTTTTAAACAGCTGTGCTGACAGCCATGACTGGGTTCTTCTGCTTGTGTGGCATGTGCAGAGTCCTGTCGCCAGATATAGGGTCTTCCAACAGCTACCCTCTTGACCCATGATGGCACTACCTATTCAAGAAACTTGATGTAGATCTTCGTGTTGAGTCTGGGGCCTTGTAGGAAGATGAATGGAGGCATAGCGTCGTCATCACTAGTGATCACTCCAAACACCATGATGTTGACGAGATATATCATCCAACTATTTCTGAATCCTCTGCACTCTCCTCAGCAGATTGACACCCAATACACTGAAATGTTTGTATTGGAACTTCCAGTACAAATGCCAAGCAGTACAGCATGCTGTTTCCAAATTTCTGGCATAGTGAATTGCATCATGGTGCTCTTTATCTCACAGACTGTGCCCAACAGATACTACGATACTGTGCAGTCAATAAAATCAAAAACAAACAATACACATGCAAAATTAAAAATATAAAATGGAGGCTTAAATTCATAAAGTCTAGTTACCATAGAGGAAATTGTATCAAAATGTTTATATAAAAAGCACAAGGAAGCTACATTAGAACGGTAGGAAAGGGACTGAAGCCAAGATGTCAGATCAGGACCAATAGCATTGCAGATTCTTCTTTGTATTTTATCAGCACTCATTATGCAACAACATTCTCACTTTAGGAATAAATCTGAAAAATTATGAATGCTTTATTTATGCATCCATTTACCCATCACACCCTGTGTGTGTGTGTGTGTGTGTGTGTGTGTGTGTGTGTGTGTGTATATATATATATATATATATATAATATTAATCTAAGTGTGATAAAAATATAGTTTTATGGTATGCTATATTAGTGAGTAAAAGTGTTCCATATCAGAGCTGATTGGATTCTTTGGGCATCAGCTGTGGGTGAGGATCAGAACTGATTGAAAGCAATTGGTTCTGGCAGATTTCAACAAAAGGTGAGTGCAAGTTGCAAGCCTAGTTCACATGAATTAGACCAATCTTGATTTTCTTTTTTTAATTTCAAGTCACAACAGGACATATTCCTAGTTGACTCCACCCCTAGTTAAGCTAGTATCTTTTGTTTCTCCTAATTAACATGCGTGACTGTCATTCTCAGCCTCTTTCCGAGTCTTTTAAATTTCTCAAATAAAATGTTTTTAAAATCAGAAAGTATGATTATAGTGGATGTGCAGGTGGTGTAATAGTGACTTAAAAGAAATCAGGGAACCAAGTTCAGATTCTGGTCAAGTTCATTACATCCACTTTCATACAAATATCTTTGGGAAAAGTATAAATCTATTTTTCCTCAAAGCTGTAGCTTAAGTAGCAGGGCTGATTGAGCTTTCTTTCCTTGAGGTGACAACCAATCTAAGAGAATGAAAACCAGCCTGAAGAGGTTATATTACCCTAGACACATTAGTGCTGCTATGGCTGCAGTGCATTATGATGATCATAATGAACTTTTTACCTTTGTTAATTTTTCAGATTTATCCAGACGAACAGCATCTTCTGAATGGTGGAAACACTTACAGACATGTGCACGAGACAATGGCAGATTTCTTAATGGAATGTTTCAATGGGAAATCAAAGAAATTTGAAGAAAAAACTAAAAAGCATGAAGAATTGACAGTCAAAGAAGACCCTGAGGAAGAATAATTTACCACCAGTCTACAAACAGGTCATGAAAAGAGAACACTGTTTAAATATATACATTAGTAATAAGATAATATTGCTTTGTACATCCTACAGAAAGGTCTAATCCAATGAACAAAAAAGACTACCTATTACAGAAATTGTAATGATTATTATATTTTCATTAACTGATGTATTGACAATTAAAATTAGGAAAGGAAGAAAAACAAGAAATAAAAGTAGCTTAAATTTAATGTTAGAAATAGTTTTTAGGTATGCATAAAATGCAATGTTGTCAAAATACTTATATAATGTTATATATTTAAAAATTGTGTTTTGAGACAGACACACACATACATATATATACAAATACATCAGAATATACATATACACACATACATACATACATACATACATATATATATATATATATATATATACGTGTGTCTGTGTGTGTATATATATATATATATATATATATATATATATATATTTACATGAAAGTGCTTAAATTTGTACATAGCTATGTATTAGCAATTTCATCTGCTTTTTTTTCAGCCTCATTCAAAGTGAAAGGCGGATTTGAATATCTCTTTGATATAAACGACTGCTTTTATTTAATTTGGTGATGGAAGGCAGCTGATTTAGCAAAAACACAGCTATATGCCATTTTAAATGCTTCAATTTCTTTTTTTAATATTAATCCTTTTCTGGTGTGTTTACGTGTATGATATTTTGGGAGATTGCTCTTAATCTCAATAATCCATATTGTATTTGAACAATTTAAGTCCCATATTGTTAAACATCTATCAGCTATTTACGTAAGTCGACATGCAGACAGAAAATTATTGCTTATAATATACAAACTCTTACACTGAGGCAAGGATATTACATGTTTTTATGACAGTCTTGGTATTAGACATTTGTCAGTATGCAGTACCTCTTCTGGGAGAAGGCTAGAGTATTTCCTGACACATGTTTATTACTGATATGCTATGTGACATTTGTGTTTTGCAGCATTCCCTAAAGATGTGTGCAATGTTTAATCCATTAATTGGGGCAGAAATTTCCTTCATTTACAATTGAACCATAGAAATGCAATGACAGAAATTCCTGCTTATATATATATGTGTGTGTATATAATATATATATATATATATACATACACACACACACACACACTTAGATAATTAGCGATATATTTTAGAATCAGTATGATTTTCAATGAATAAATGAAATTTTAATGAGTATTCACTACATATATCTATATATATACATATATATATATATATATATATATATATATTAAAAGAAAAGCATTGTTTAATTTTAAGGGTAAATATGTCATTGCAAATATTAAACTTATTTTAAAATGAAGGACAGATTTGAATATCTCTAATAAAAATGTTTAATGGCTGCTCTTATTTAATCTGGTGATAGAAGACAGCTGAATTTTACTAGTATAGAATTAATTTCTATTAATTTCTATTTATTAATTAATTGTTAATGCTTCATGTAATTAAAATGGAAAAAATATTATTTTATAATAACAAAATTTGATAGAAACTTTTAGTATTTAATTTGATAGAGTAAATTTTTAAATTTCTCAACATTACTTCCTGTTTTTCCATCACTGCAAAAAGATACAAAGAAATATCAATGAAATTATATTTATATTTGACTATTAAGACTATAGATTCCAACTGATAATAGCCAGCTTTCTTCACTTAAATCCATGATTTTTACAGCAGATATAAGTATTTGTTGCTTGTTTTTTAATTTATGAAAAATTATTTCAGTTAAGTGAAATAATAATAATAATTCTCCTTTATACACTTTCTACATCTTTCTCCTAAATGTGAGAAAAAAAATTATGAACAAAACAAAATAAAAAAAAAGATGTTGTAAATATATTTTGGAAGACCAAAAGAGAAAAGAAAAAATTTTAAAAAAATTCTTCCAGTTATTTTTTACCTTGAATTTCTTACTTAGCTTCCAAATTATAAATAATGTAAAAAAAAAAATCAAAAAAAAATCTGTATATTCCTCTAAAATGTTGACCCTTTCTTTTTATTAAATTCTAGAGTTTATTGTGATGGTGACAGTTTTGTGTCTGTACTCACCATTAATTTTATTTAAGTCTTCTGTTTAATATCACATCAGACCTTTGTCTTTTATTTGAAATTTTTCTTCCATTTTCCCTTAGTTTCCACAATTTATCTATTTTCACACAATATGAAATTTCCAAATAAACACCCACTTCCAATTTGATATAATATGATATGGGTTAAATAAATATAAAAAAAGGATTGTATTTTGAATACTTTTAAATTATAGGCACATACATATGATGATTTGATTAAAAGTTTCTTTTAAGTCTAGAAGAATTATCATTATTTTGATTGTTTATATAAATAATTAACTTCAAATATAAAGAATAGAACAATAAATTTAAATAAAATTCATATAAAAAAAATAGTCTTCAATTTAGGATGCACAATATTTTTTTAATATTTCTCATGACAATGTAAATACATTTTGAAAAACTTATGTGATCAATTTTTTTTTTCATGTGAATATATATGTGAATTCAAAACAAACTCCTATACATTAAGTTTCATTTAAAACTATTTCAATGGTTGTTGGGTTATAAATATTTATCTGCAGAAAATTTAATTCATTGATTAACTAAACCGTATTTACTTCACTTTTACTCGTCTTAGGCCCACAACCTAGAGTCTAAAATAGCTGTAGTTCAGTTAGCATCAAAGAGCAGGATTTCTCCTTATAAATAATAGAAACTTCAACTTATTACCTCCTTTTATTATATATATATATATATATATATATATATATATATATATATATATATATATATATATATATATATATATATATATACTCAATTGTAATTTAAAAACGTGACAGCTCTCTTTGTATCTTTCTTCGGGTTTCTTTCTATAACTTAAACTTCTGTTTTAATTAAGTGAACTGAGCTTGAAGATAAAAAAAAATGCTTCCCACACCTTAAGCTCTTGGTAGTCAGTGAAATTTTGAAACTTTATATTATTATTATTAACTTTGACTTTCAATCATTGCAATAACTTTATACTAACAATTACTATTTCAAATATAATCTAAATGTTTATGTTGGCTAATTGAAGCAATTTTAACTTTTATTCATATTAATTAATTCTCCCTCCCACACTTTAAATAATTAAATACTTTATCTTCTATTTAAATAATGCTTCACCCTCTAAAGATAGCTTTTTAGTTTGTGGATTTGGTGACAAGTCTTAAAACAATTATTCTGACACTGAAAATCTACAAAAGCACATCTTCTCTTTAATTCATTTGTATACTTATTATGAAAATAATTTGATAAGAAAGAAAAATACAGAGGAAAAAGTTGGAGTCAAAATACTTAAAGATAAAATTAATAGAGTAAAATGCGAAAAATTAATCTTCATTTAAAATGAGGAGATATAACTTTAATGTACATTGTGTAAGAATGTGTGCACACACACACATATATATATATATATATATATATATATATACATATACACACACACCTTTCCTAGGTGTAAACATTACAGTATAAAGGAGAAAATGAAAGACATTGTATTTCTAGTTTACACTCTTTATTTGTCATGAATGTAAACATATACTTTTGTATGTATACGTGTTTATGCATATAAATATACATTTTCCTTCACAATTGCACTTCAGTTAGAATCTGTAAATTAAAAATTTAGCAATTTGGTAATGGAGAATTGGATACAAAAGATTTTTTTAATTTTTTTCCTTAAATATGTCATTGATATTTTCTTCCGTTCATACATTTCTAATTTTACATTTTTTTAATCAAAACAAAATTTCTGCATAATGTCATTGTATCAAGGAAGAAATCATTGACTAGTTTAGCAAAACAATTTTAGTAAGTACCTCTTTGTCAGTAATTTAAACTTTTCAAATATTACATGTCTAGTGTTGATATATAGAGATATAAAAGTTCTTTTTTTCTTGCTGACTTAGAATGTATAAAGTTTATATCTTCTCAGATGAACTCACCATTATTTTACTATTCTGAGAGTTTTGTTTTCAAACACTGATTGGTTTTTTTTATTAATTAGAATAAATAGAGATTATGCCTAAAACTTTCATAAAGTTGAATTTTAAAAATTAATCAATATAAAGATTTTTTTTAATAAGCAAGAAATTAGCAAGAAAAATGAAATTGTTGTTTATTATTAAATGTGATTATGGAATTTTTTTAAATTAAAAATAGTCTAAAATTATTTTTTTTATTCTAAATGTATAACTGCTATATATATCTGAGAATAATGTTTCAAACAGTCCACTTTCCAACCATCATCAAGTAAAGTCCAAGGTTCAAATGATAAACTAATTAAATTTAAAACTAATTAAATTTAACTAAAACGTGAACCAAACTTTTGTTTATTTTCGTTTTTGTTGTTTTTTTTTTGTTTTTTTTTCTTCTTTCTAACCTAAAGTTTCATATTTTAAGAACCTTGAATATTGAAACAATTTAATGAAATAAATTATGAAAGATTAAATCCTACATATGAAAAAAAATGACTGACTCAATGTGGCCTGGGATCTGTATGAGTTTAAACCACGTAAACCTATTATTGCCACAACTGATGATGGTCAGAGAAATTCCAGTTAAAAATATTACAAAACTGCTAACTAAAAGGGATATTGTATTGTCCAAATAAAAATAACTAATTTGTTATTTTATGTATAGCATTTTGAAAAGATTAAAGAATTGATTAAATCAGTTCTTTTCTTTAATTTTTTTTTTTTTATTCTTGTAAACTACAATTGACTTATCCATTACCCCTAAAACCTGTGCCCTTCCCTTTTATTCTTGTAATATAATTTATTCATTATTCACTTGTTCCCATTTTTCTTTTTGTATGATTGCAAAGAAATCCTAAAATGTGTATCAAAAACTCACCTCAGCTAAAAAAAGCTTTAAGTAAAAACCAAAGTCAAAT